ACGTTAGCCAACGTCGAAAGCAGCACAAACACACAGAGCGCAAATTAGCCACCGACTAAAGACTAACCGAGGTATTTGTTACGATTACGGTTAGAGCGATGAAGTAGTCTTACCTGGTCGGTTCATCGCTGCCTCACTTTCAGCCTCGGGAGTGTTTTCACTCGTTTAGCTAGCAGCAGCCTCCTGTGACGTCACCATCCAATCAGCTCAACTCAAGAGTCTCAGCCGAGATCACAGAGGACGTCATTATCTTCCAAACGCGGGATGACGGCGCAATGTACACATTACGAATCAGGCATTCCATGACTTCAAAGTACATATACTTAGAATACCAAAGGTAACAGCACTGTTTGTAGTAGTGATTATGCAGAATGGCCCATTTGAGAATGGTATAAAGGGTGCAGCAGCTGATGGAGCATGAGAAGTCAATTCACACCACCATAATTATAGGATATTATACAGAGACGGAATTGGCGATTGTCAGTTACAATAATAAAAAAATAATAATCATGGTGTAATATAAGAGTCTTTGAGTACTTTGAAAAGCACTATAAATAAAATGTATTAAGATGCACAGTTGAAATTTAATCTGGAACACAATTTATATTGCATATGACCATATTTCATATTACCACATTTTAGTTAATAGTTTCTAAGATGAAGAGAAGTATCTAAATCATTCATCTTGTAATTTAGACTTGCCTCCATCTGCTGGCAAGAAATACCACTACACTTCAATGAGTGCCAAGTCTCCTCTTGATGGAATTTAAAATAAAGCTGCTCTTTTTGTTGTGTGCTTTTGGTCATGTTACCCGGAGATGACCAACCAACAGCAGCAAATGACAAAGACGTGTTGATTTAGTTTACTTGATACATTCTGCGAAGTATAGTTTAAATATGTATTGATCAAAAAGATAAATAAATAAAAGTGTACGACACAAACCCTCTCACTCACTCACTGTTCTTGCATGACAGAAGAAAAGCTAACCAGTCCAAATTGTTGCATTTTTGTGCTGAGAATTGAAAGTGTAAGATTCAAACTATTTAAAAAAAACTGAAGGTAACTAGTGAAAATTTTCAGGAACATTTATTCAACGACAGCAAATCAGATCAATGACCACTTGTTTTCTTCCAGACACACAGTTACCATGCTACAACATAAACGTTAAGGTTTATACTTTATATGGGCGAAGTGATCGTACAAACGCTCTTAACCATTAAACCATTCCTTGCTAAATTGAACGGTTACATTACAACACCATACCAGTTAAAATGATAGCCATCATCAAGTATGAAATAAATAAAATTCCAAAAATGCATCATATAACCATTTCACTATACATACTATTTATTTTTGAGGAGTGATTTCCTGATCATTGATCCATTATAGTTACTTTTTTTTTTTCCAAACACACAGTGCATTCAACTTAGAACATTGACAGTAGCATCTTTCAGTAGCTCTATGAAAAAGCCATGACAGGAACATCTATGTTTCATCAAGGGTTACAGGAAACATCATACGAGGGCCACAGAGGTCAACATCCATACCGTTAATAGCAGAGGGTGGGCAACGGGAGCTCACCTAATGTAAACCATTGAAACACAGTATTAGCATTTATGCAACGGACAATGTGGCGAAGACGTTCATGGCCATTTGCAAAACTGTGACAATGTATGCAAATTCAGTAGTATGAAAAATCTAGAGTGGTTTTTGCGTGGAGCTGCCTGTGGCACAGAGCTCACAGATGATATGCTGGACGAGTTTCTTACTCTACATGGATTAAAAAAAAGTCAACAATGATAAACGATTACAGTATATAGGACAATATGTCATCAGACTTCAGTTCAAAACACGAGGACTAACAACATGATGTAAATCATATTCTTCACTACCTAAAACGTTCCCCTTGTCGATGTTCTGTGGTCAGCTTTATTACCCAGCTAAGAAGAGTGCAACATGTTTTTGTTTTTCCACAACACATTAACTACTTCACATATTCAAGACAGCTCCGTTGAAAACATGTCACCCGCTGAACAAGCTGCTGATATAGACCCGTTATTTCATCATATCGACGGCTCTCATCAAGATCAATAAACAACCAGAAATAACAGGAATATATAAATTAAATTAATATCTTTGAGTGTCAATTAGTTGTGACGTCCCTGAATTAAATAAGGTTTGTCGTGGTTATGAAGAAAGGAAAAAGGAGCAGTAAGTCATCATATGTCAGAGTAACCTTGATGTTTACCTTTAACTATGGACAAATGTAAGATAACATTTCCGCCACTGAAGATAAGTAAATCATTCAACTATCAATTAACCTATTTTTTTTTGAGACTCCTTAAAAAGCAGAATTTTCTCATTTCTGAATCCAATGTCAATTGTTTTGCATCTATCAGATGTAACTGCTGATTTGACAAAAAAAGAAACAAATATAAAAAAGGACACAAAAATTCTTGTTAGGTTTAAGTGACAATAGATCAACACACTACAACTAATCCACCCGGGCTCAAAAACTGACATAGATCGATGCAATAGGCAACATTTTGTAACCAACATTAAAATTACCTTGACAATAACGGTCATGACGACCTGTTCCGTGCTGCAGGAAAGTGGTCTCCATCCTGCAAAGGGAAGCTGAAATAAAGCTGAGGCAGAGGAACGGAAAGCCAGTGCTAATTAATAACAAGAATGTTACGCCAGCAGGCATTTATGAAACAAATGTCTGCAAGTAAAGCTCTGTGCCTTAACAACCTCGTGAGTGACTAAACTCTCATGGGAGCCACCACAGACAAACAAACCAAAGCCAGAGACGTGCTGCAGGTCCGACCACAGCCGGCATTCATCTGAAGTAGCACTGATCGCGAATCGGATGAGCAAATTGCACTGAAAATGACAACTCTGATCTCGAGGGTTTAAATGATGACATCGATCACCTCAGCACACAAGCGCATCTCTTTGAGCTCCTCCCTGAGCAGTGGATCTCTCCTTCTGCATTAAATAACACGCAAACCTCGCCCCCCTCCCCCGCCTCCTTCGCCAGAACTGTGCTCATTTGAATATATTCCACATACGTATGCACCTATAAGTCTTGCAAAGTAAAAATGTTGCAGAAGACTAAAGAAAATCTGGAGACCGAGGTTTATAAACAGTGCATGCTACACCATGATGCAAAGTGCGGGGGGGGAGGTGGGGTAGGCGACCTGTGCGGTTAAAGGCCGAGAAATACAAAAGAAGAGATAAAAACGAGACATAGGGGGTTTCTCTTTTCGTCTTGTACCGGGGGGTGGGGGGGGGATACGTTGTGGACCAATCGGGGGAAAGGGGTTGGAAGGAATGCGACGTCATAAGTTCCTTTCATGGGCCATGCTTACTAGTCCCCTCTCCTCCGCACGGCGCACCCTCTCTGAAGTGGAAAGATGGATTGCCCCCTTCTTACATCTCACGGAGGCGGAGCGGGGAAGCAGGCAGGACCGCAGGCCAGGATTGACGGGGGGGTTGGGTGGGGGCGCGGGGTTTAGTTGAAGCCGGTGTCGGTGTGATAGGAGTGGTGCCCGTCCGATGTTAACTGGGTTGTCTCTGTCGCTGATGGTTGCAGCATGATGGGGTCGCCCCCAGCCTCTGCTTGAAAAAAAAAAAAAAAAAAAAGTCATTCTTTGAGCCTCCTCCACTCTTCTTGTTGCAAACCCGACCTCTCAAGGAGTTCAAACGGGCGATTGGGTCTCACCTCTCTCGTCGGACTGCAGCTGAGCCTCCAGGTCCTCGGGGGACACGTAGAACTCCTGCTCCTGGCCCTCCCGAGGTCGTGGTTTACATTTGCCACAGCAGCAGTTACAGCAGCAACACAGGCAGCAGCAGAAGTAGCAGCCGGTGGCCAGACCGCAGAATACGAACAGAGCCTGAAGGAAAGGAAGGCATGGGAGTGACGAGTCAACGTAGCGTCAGGAAATAGAAATGTTTAGCCAGAAAGAAAAAAAATAGTGCTAACTCTGTCTTACCTTTGCCCACCAGCTTGAAAGGACAAAGTAAGTGTTGACATTCTCCTCTCCAAACTGCTCGGCCACATACAGTCCAAGAGAACCATATTTGTCATAAATATTACGCTTTGTGGGGTCATTCAGAATAGCGTGAGCGCTGTTTATCTCCTTGAACTTATCGGCGGCCTCTGGGTTGTCTGGATTCTTGTCCGGGTGGAACTTCAACGCCAGTTTCCTGCGCAGGAAGTTGGTTGAGGCAAACATAAAATAAGAATCGCAGAACCGGTTCTCGGTTGGTAATTAAGCAAGGTAGGCCGCAGAGGGATGCCTCACCTGTAAGATCTCTTAATATCATCCGGCGTGGCCACCTTCTCCACTCCCAGCACGAGGTAGAGAGACTCACCGGCGGTGGACAGAGAGCGCTGCCTCTGATGCTCTGCCATGATGCCTCACGTCCACAGGCTGTGCACACAAGCAGAGAACATTGATTGGGCTGCAGGTCACAGGACTGCTTTATTACGATAACCTGTTTAGCGTGACGTGCATCTGGTAAAATATCAGCCCTAAAACCACAGCGGGGCCCTGTGCGACTGCAGCTCGTCCAACGCTGTCAGTGTGACTGATCTCCAACGAAGGCAACATGCAAGATGCATTATATTTTCACGTACTGATTACTGGTTTTTCAGAGTAATTGGTGCTTTTATATAAATAAAAAAAATAGGAGAACATCATCCCTGACAATTTGGCTGCTTCCAAATGGGTGTCAGCTGATACAGACCCTGGTCTATTATTTGAAGCTCCGCACAGCGTACTTTTCTACCTCTGACAAGTGTATATGTCAAATCCCCCTTTCGCCTCTAGATTTCAATTGTCTGTAAAAAAAAAAAAAAAAAGGATTAAGACTGAGAATAGGATGCTGGGAGCATAATCTCTGCAAGCATCATCGCCAGCACCGCCACAGTACATAGCGCGCAGCATCCATGTTGGTTCGCCTCCTGGCCTTTTACTTGATGCGAGCCAGGGATGGATCAGTCAGCAGTAATTTTCAAGGGCACGCGGCAGTGTCTCGCGGGCAAACAAATGATCGAAACGTACCTCTGTGGCTCACCTTTCCGTCGGCTGTGATGCGCTGCGGCACAAACGATCCCAGCAGGTTATATCTAGTCAGACGGCGTAGCGTGACTATGGCTGCATCTCGCACGTACCCAAACTCTCACTGGCTCCCACACTACACAATCATGGACAGCTGCAGCAGTACGCTGGCTCCGCCCACCCCGTGGCGACCCGACCCGCGCATGCGCAATGGACCAGGATGAGGATGCTGGATACAGAGGCGTGCAAGTACCGCAATGGCTATTTTAATTGTGCTTAACGATCATCGTGACACTAGGACCACGTTAACTTTATTAGTATCTTGAACTAAAGTAAAAAAAAAAACATATTTAAGAAGTCACATTAACCATTAAAGCAACAATGAAACAATACTAGAACAGGATACTTGTAAGGGGAGTCAGACAAGCATCATTCAATGTAGGCAATGTAAAGTGCAAATAATGACAATTCGTGCAGGCAGTTAAAATATGAAATAACTTTTCAGTCGGCACAAGCAGATAAAAGCGCAACAAATGAGGACGGACAATGGGAGCTGGGCCCATAACCCAATTCGCCCAGTTGGTTGATCCAGCTTTGCATGTTCAACTAAATTCAGATCTGGTGACTTTAAATCCAGATAATATTTATCATCAAACTATGGAGTCAAGTTCATTGATCGTTTTTAGGGTATTTGGTTTGTCTATGGGGCTGTATAAGATCAAGACCAAATCAAGACGCATTAGTAAACATACATTTTAAATGTTTCTCTATTCAGTTTCCAACTGCATAGGTCTCCCATTTCACATTTCTCCATTATGTCTAAGCGTTGTAGCCTTCTTGTATTTTAACAGTTTATCTGTTGTGTTTTGACATACATACAGTGTGGTGAAAGGAGATAGTTTTCATTAGTAAAGGTCGTGCACGAGAAAAAGGTTGTTTTCGAAATCGTATTACAGCAAAAGTACAAGGGTAGCATGAAATAATATATCAATAAAGTAAAATATCTCCCTCTATGCATCGCCATACAGATCAGATTTGACCATCCGCTGCGCCGACTGTTCCTCGGCAACGGTGACGTCACCGTCTTCACCAATCGCAGAGCTCGCCGGGATGACGCTGCTATCGCGAGCTTATCACGTTAGCTCGGTTAGTTAGCTAGCCGCGAAAAACCTTGACCGTGTACGCTGCGTTTTTACACTTTTCTCTCCAAAAGCACCGAGAGGACATCGCGCATTTCTGTCGTGATTATTGTCCACTCCCGCGTGTACGAAACGGATAATCCTCGGACCTTTTGTTCGCACGGTGAGTTGGATGAACGCTCACAAGCTAACTAGCCGGGGCTTGTTGCCCAGAAGCAAACGGGTTTGTTTTGAAAAGCTCCGGAGAATCTCCACAATATTTTTTTTTCGTGACGCTATCAAGCGCTCAATCGCTTTTAAAAAAAAGGGCACGCTTATTGTGTGTGTGGTTTTGTTATTACTCCAGCATCAATCACCGTATTATACCAGTGTTAAATCCTTCGTATGTGAACGTTACCGCTCGTGCAGGTACAAACTGTGACCAAGCTGTGTCAGTCTTGGTCACGTGTCGCTGTGTTTGAAATACGATTTTTCGTCCCTCCAGGACCCCAATGATGAGTTATGCTGAAAAGCCAGAAGACATCACAAAAGAAGAGTGGATGGACAAACTGAACAATGTGCACATACAGAGGGCGGACATGAATCGCCTCATCATGAATTACCTGGTGACAGGTGAGGCTCGTGGCCGCACTACTGTGACTGGGATTTGCAACTAATACGATATAATCATTAATGTCTCTGTCGTCGCCTCTCGTGTCTTATCTGTTTCTCGTGTTCCAAGAGGGTTTCAAAGAAGCTGCAGAGAAGTTTCGGATGGAGTCTGGGATCGAGCCGAGCGTGGACCTGGACTCCTTGGATGAAAGGATAAAGATCAGGGAGATGATCCTGAAGGGACAGATACAGGAAGCCATTGCACTCATCAACAGCCTACACCCAGAGCTGCTTGACACCAATCGATACTTGTATTTTCATCTCCAGGTACTTTCACACTGAATCTGAAATAAAAATATATTACTAGTAATAATAGTAATATTTTCTAGTTAAAAAGGATAATAATGCAATTTTTAGATAAAGCACGAACTTCAACATTCACTGCTTTGTACTTGTTTTTGGTCTCTCTTTTGCAGCAGCAACATTTGATTGAGCTAATCAGGCTAAGGGAGACTGAGTCAGCGCTGGAGTTCGCCCAGACACAGCTGGCGGAGCAGGGGGAGGAGAGCCGCGAGTGTCTGACGGAGATGGAGCGAACGCTAGCCCTCCTGGCCTTCGACAACCCAGAAGAGTCGCCCTTTGGGGACCTGCTCAACATGATGCAGCGGCAAAAGGTGGGCCGTTTTTTTAAAATTTGTTTTGCTTTCCGACTGAATTGTTATTTAGTTACTATTGCACCTCATTATTTGAATGGCTGCAAGAAATAGAGAGTTGCTTTCATTGAAATCCAACGTCGGACCAAGCAGAGGGGGAAAGTGAATGTTGTTGTCTTGATCTTTGAATATTACCCAACGTAATGCCGCTCGTTTGTCTCTGAGGTCACATTCCCTTTACTCCGGCTCTGCTTTGTTTTCACATTAGATGTTCAACTAGTAAATAAAAAGTTGTTAGGAGCCCATTTGGGTGACTGGATGGAGAAGAAGAGTCTTGTACAGCAACATAAAGGGGGACTTTAACGTGTCTTGACGTATCTTATAAGCTTAATGACCAGCCAAATACACAGAGTAGGATACAACTACAACTACTACTACCACTGTTCTGCATATGGGTTTACCAATTAATAATAAATACAGATGAATAGTTGTTTAACATTTGAAGTGATTCTACCAGAGTTCTTAATTGTAGTTCTATTCGCTGTGACTGAACTGCATATCTGGATGAACAGGTGTGGAGTGAGGTGAACCAAGCCGTGCTGGACTATGAAAACAGGGAGTCAACGCCCAAACTGGCTAAACTCCTGAAGTTACTGCTGTGGGCACAGAATGAGCTGGACCAGAAGAAGGTGAAATATCCCAAAATGACTGACCTCAGCTCGGGCACCATCGAGGACCCCAAGTGAACATAGCAGAGGAGAACAACCGTAATTTATGATCAGTCAGTGACTGTGTGACAACCAGGTAACGTATATGTATAAACAAATGCTACATTGTTTTTGTTTTTCACATGTCATCCATCAGAGATACAACTTTAACTCTTTGTGCAAACTGTAAATTGCTGTATTGCAAGTTGGAAGAAATTATATAAATACCGTTCCAGAATTTTTAGATCTTTGAGAAGACAAAATTAAAATTGCCGTTTTTATATTTTGCCTTTCTAAAGCTTAAGCCGGTAGTATTATTTATTGTAGGAGAGGGAGAGAGAGAATTGAGGACACAATTTAAGAGTATTTGTAAATTGAAAGATATGCAAATAAATGTATTCTAGTTTAAATCAATTAATATCAATTAAAATATTGTATGATTTGTCGTACCATAACAATGTTCCTATAGGATGATCCACTTTGCAAAGTAATATTGTGTGTGTGTGGAGAGGGTGATACGCAAGTTAAATCTCAAAACTGGCTTCCATATTACGTTTTTAGCACCCTCGGCCTATTTTGAGCCTCAGTATGCGTCACTATTCCTCATGAAAGGGTTTTATATTACAACGGGGTTGAGATTAAAAGAATATTCTACCATTCTGAATGACTGAGGTGGGATTTCTGTTTCTTGAGAGAAAGGGCTGCTCCGTCAAGAGATGCTAACGAGTGACTGTGCCAATAACGACTCTGTTATTTAAACTTTATTCACACTGGAACAGATTTCTTTTTTCAATGGCTGTGTTTTGTTTTTTAATATTTATATATCAATGATTAAATGCATTGACGTTTTGAATAAGTCCCAGAACGTGTAATTTATTTTGCCACTTTTAAAGCCGTTCATATTTTTCACTTCTACTGCATGTAAATGTATTTATTATTTTTCAATGGGGAAATGCTCTTGCGCTAGTTTTTGTTTTGTTTATTAACTTTTATATATATATATATATATATATATATATATAGATTGCTGCTAGTTGTTAGTCCTTAATTTAACTTAAAGTTATTTTGTCTATAGATGTTGGCTTTGACAAATACTAAGACCCAGTGAGCCCACATCCCTTTTTATTATTCAACATTTTTAAGATCAGATTTGCAATTATTAAAATAAACAAAACTTTTGTGAACCATACAACAGCCATGTTTCCATTTTTTTGAGTTGGGAAAATCTGTTTTTATATATACTGTATCTCCATTTGATTATACTTACTATTGGAATTCCACTACATTTTTAAGGAAAAACGTTTTTACTCTACAACATTTACCTTTAGTCATTGGTTTATTCAGATACGAATTATAGTACAAAATAGAAATCGACTAAGACATTGTGAAGTATTCTATAATAAGCTACACAGTGTATGAATCTATTACATTACAGGTCATTTAGCAGACGCTAAATCCAAAGCGACTTACATTACACCCATGGCTTTTTTTCAAATTTTTGCCTGGGGAGCAATTAAGGGTTAGGTGTCTTGCTCAGGGACACATCAACATGGAACATGGGGCAGCCTGGACTCGAACCACCAACCTTGTGCTTCCCAGCACACCTTCTCTAACCTCTGCGCCACGACGACACCCCCCCATTTACAAATATTACAAATAAACCTCTACCTTTACCGTCAGTTATGCCTGCACAGTAATGCAACAATAATTATAACCAATTATATATTCAACCAATTATATATTCAATTCATAAAATACCATTCTGATATGGGTCAAGTGCTTTTGCTGCTTTAAATATATATAAATATATTTTAATGTAAAACATACTTTTTATTTTTTTATTTTAGAAGGATTTTGAATGCAAGGCTTAAACGTGTAACAAAGCATTTGCACTGTAACATTGCTACTTAAATAAAAGATCTGAAAACTTCAGAAGCTTCAAACAAACAACTCTTCTGTCCTACAGTAGATAGAGTAATTTCCGGCAAATCATGACGGTTCACAAGATTTTCGTTTTGTTCAAACAAGTTTTACCAGATGGTCCTGTATGCCTGAGGTAGAGCTGGCTCGCAGTGTGGTGGAGTTGTGCTGTTTCATACCGACTCCAGCGTGCGGATGGCTGACAGGCACGCATCAGGAGACGGCAGAAATGGCTTTAATGGTTCTCCACCGGATCTTAAAGTTGAAATAGCTAATGGTTCGACCAAAGGGGAGAAAGAGGACAAGAACCTGTGGCCAAGGTGAGAAATTGCACAATATTTAGAGCAGACTAAAGATCGTTTTAAGCTTCAAAACAAATTCTGTGTGAAGAGTATGCCGTAACATTACAGAGGTAGTAAATGTTTGACTGAAACAGCTTTTCTAATATGAACTTTGTTCAGGCATTTAGGGTAACTTCAAAGACTGTTTTTGCTTCGCTGGAACAAGATACTCTTTTTAGCCCAGCTAGTAATGCTTTATGTTAAAAGGTGTTTTGGTGTGGACCGACTTGAAGGTTTGACAAAGATAAACAACTGTTGAATGAATTGCCATAATGTGCAAAGATTCGTGGTCCCCAAAGGTTGAATCCCTCTGACTTTGACCCCCAAACTTTTCCTCAACCACCACCAGCATGTTGACATTTTAGGTTTCTATTGAAATGCCACATTTGGTACAGATATTCCTGGTCCCCAGAGGATGAACCCCAATAAGGTATCCTTTAACTTTTGGTCTAACCTCGACCCATCAGATGCTTCGTAACACCGAACCATTTGACTTCATCCGTAACATCTTGCAAAAGGGCAGACACGTCTTTACTGCTGTTGTTTCTGCTGCCAACACATTCCTGTCACTCAATGACATTCCTGAGGGCCTCAGCTGAACTCTCCCACGTTAGAGCTAGCATGCAAAACTAAACCTGCTCGTTCGTAACCCGCTCCCCAAGTGTGTTTCCCCCTTTTTGTTGTTCCTGTTAATGGTTTCTGCTTCAACCAACTGCAGGTGTAACCTGTTTCCCTTGGTTTGCAGAGCGCTGGCTCGAGCATGGACCCTGATGCTGTTCGTAGGCACGTGCCTCCTCTACTGCGCCAGGATGGCCATGCCGATCTGCGCAGTGTCAATGGCAACGTCTTTCCACTGGAGTAAAATCGACGCCGGGCTGGTTCTGGGTGGATTCTTCTGGGGTTACTGTTTCACACAGATCCTGGGCGGATATGCTAGTGACAAGTAAACAAACAAGCTATTAACACAGTGTTGACAGACTTTAAGCAAAAAGCTAATAACCTTTAACTCCACGGTGTTTGTTGATCTTCTAGGCTTGGAGGAGAGCGCGTCCTGCTCATCTCTGCAGTCTCGTGGGCTTTGATCACAGCTGTTACTCCTCTTCTGGCCCACTTAGGTTCTCACACCCTTGCACTCATGACTATGGCCAGATTCCTCATGGGACTACTGCAGGGTGAGAGTTGCCGTGTTGGAACAAGCACGTAATGACGTGATTAACATTTTGAGTGAGAAAAGTGTTCAGTTTCTTGCCCGGAATTAGATGAGAGGATCTATACCCCTCGGCATAGGTCTGTGCACTAGCCGACGGTTAGCGCCTTTGTTTTTCATGTTGAATATTTCATTTAGAAACAACATTTTGGTAATTTACAAAGCTAGTCATTGCAGCTTTCCCTCAGAAGCAATGACATCAGGTGGACCAGAGAAAACACCTTGCGCTCTAGAGCCTGTGGTGAGGAAATATTCCCCAGGATATATCAAATTTGCATTCAGGCAGATGGGTTGGGTGGAATATTTATGTGGGTCATCACAGCTGACAGCGTCGCTCATGTGCTTTTCTCACATTTATTATGGGCAGGTGGTTGCATTAAAACAGCTGTTTGATTCTTGAAGTGAGCACATTTGCTAAACAGTCACTCCCCCCAACAAGAGTCCCAGCGCTGCAAACAAATGTCCACTATAGTGAATATGTTATTGAGGAAGCTAAGAGTGTCTTATAATGTCTCTTAGGTGTTTTTTTCCCGTCTTTGGCCAGCCTCTGCTCACAACGTGTGTTGGAAGGTGAGAGGGGTTTTTTAATGAGCGCCATGAACAGCGGGAGCAATCTTGGGTATGTTGTACACACACACACACACACACACACCGTCACTACCTACTGTATCTATGATGACACATTTTTGTGGCCCTTTCAGGATATTGCTAGCGGGGGGGATGGGGTCCCTGCTGCTGGACCGGTACGGCTGGGAAAGTATGTTCTACATAATTGGCTTCCTTGCTGGACTCTGGGCCTTCGTTGCTTGGCTGTGTTTAATAAAAGGTACAGTTACTACAGTGGGAGGGGGAGGTGTTTGACTGAATAACAAAGGGCCCATAGGTTGTAACTTACATACAAAAGCAAAATATAACGTGTATATGTGTGGTTCAGGTACGGAAGTTACCCCCAAGCGGATGGAAAGAAGCAGCGACACACAATGGAGTTTGTCAACAACGGGCTGGCTGAGTCTTTTGAAGGAGTCGCCAGTCTGGTACGTCCGCGTCCTCTGATCCTTCGCTCTTTACCAACTACATAAATGCCCGAGTCAGTCAGGGTGACCACATTTCTGCATCTGTCTCTGTCATCCTCTAAGGGCCATGGTGTTCACTCACATGTGCATGAGCAGCACTTTCACAACATTAATGTTGTGGCTGCCAACATACTTCGAAGAATCATATCCTGAAGCCATGGTATTTCACACTGTAGAGTAGATTGCTCCAGCTCCCCTCTTCTGGCCTGCGTGGTTTGAATGCTTACCTGTCCGTTCTTGCAGGGATCTGTTTATAATGTAATTCCATGGCTTGTCGCAATTCCATCAGCACTTGCCGGAGGATACGTGTCAGGTTTTCTCATCAACCAAGGTGCTTAACTGTGTTTATTAAGTTATTGCCTTGTGTGTTTTGAGGTCAGCTACAGTGCCTTTCAGTAAAAAGATGTTAACACCTTGTTTTTTCCCCTTAGGGTATAGTGTAGTATTGGTCAGGAAGATAATGCAAGTAAGTGTGGAAATACTTCATCAGTTCAATGATCCTAGTTGTGTTCTCACGTGATTTGAAACCGCTGTCTGTGAAGTTTTGTGCTGACTAGCTTGTTCTGTGTGCATGCTACAAACATGTAATTAAACAAGATTCTCCAGCGCAAAATATTTACAAGTTTAGTGATTCACTCTTATATTTTGAACTACAAGCTATACATATATTAATGTTCATAATTAGGTGCATCAGGCGCTCAGACCTCTTTTAATCTATTGTTATTATGAACAATTATGAATCTTTACATTTACAATTACAATTACATCTCTTACATTTATTTCTAGAACATAAATGATGTCTTTAAATGTCTCACCTGCACCTCTCACCCTCCGCAGGCAGTTTCCATGGGCCTATCGAGTGTGTTTATCGTGCTCCTGTCCGGAGGCGTCCCATTTACCTCTGCTCTCATTTTCATTTGTGCTGCAATTGGTCTATCAACATTCAGCAGCAGGTGAGTTATGAAAAAATGTTTGTATTCGTGCATTTTACTCTAGCGAAAGATGTGTTGGTGAAATTAACATAAGAAACTATTTAAAGGGTTGTTCTATATTCCTGTTTCCCTGAAAAGATCAAAAGTAAAAAAAAGTGTTAGTCTGTTTGTCAACACTTTCATCCTCCCTCTCTCCCTGAACTCTACTTTATTTTAAATGGAACTTCTACGGACAACCTAGTTGATATAAAGAGATATTGGATTTTTATGATAACACTGTAAATAAAGAATATCACTGCAGTAAGCATAATAAGTTTCAATGTGTTTCAGCGGTGTGTCTGTCAACGTGCAAGATCTCTGCCCATCGTGTGCTGGTGCCATCTATGGTATTTTAAACCGTCCACATTGGAGATCCATAAAACTAATCTAATCATTGTTTTGCTTGATCAATTTTCCTCTTCCGCAACAGGTTTCATGAATATGCTGGGTGCTTTCATGGGTAGGACATCAATATTCTGACATAAAAATGTAACAGGGATTTGAAAAATGTAATTTCCATTGTTGCTACGAGCTCTGATCTCAAAAATATAGATATTTATATTTCTTATTTCTGTCTTCATTGATTCCCTCGACGTGGCGGCACAGGACTAGTGTTGGTTTCGGTGTCCGGCTACCTGGTGGAGGTCACGTCGTCGTGGGCCACAGTGTTCTCCCTCCTCACTTTGGTGAACGCCACGGGCCTCGGGATCTTCCTCATCTTTGGAGAAGCTCGGCGCGTCGACCTGTAAGGTTACACACAGACGTTGCGAGTTCTGCATCTCATTTGGGAGACTGGACATTAAACCTAAATGAGAGTTCATTTTGAGCCTCGTTCTGCTCAAACTGCCTGTGAACAAAACTAAATATTTTGTAGTGAAATAATATTTTTTTTGATGGTTTAAAATAATTTGTTATCAAATGTTTACTGAACATTAAAGTAATAATCTTCTCCTGTTGGAAATGAAGGAACTTGAGTATCGTATAGAAGTACATTTCACTCGAGTATATTTACATCAAAAAGGAAAGCTGATGGTGACCAATCAATGAACATGTTAAGAGATGAATTAAGTCCCAATCATAGTCAGATGTTATCTAACATTTACAACATACAAGTTGATTTTACTTGAAGGACATTCAACTTTTTTGGCCACTATTAAAACTACTGTACTTTCTGTAACTGATCACATTTTTGTGTGGAAATTTCCTGGTTGCTTTAGTTTATTTTATTTAAGTTATGCATTGGTCAATGCTCAAGTCCACTAAAACAATTAGAAGGAATGACTATGGTCACAACAACGGCGTGTGTCCTGTCGTATGTTTAAAGCTTCAAACGTCAATTAAAATATATTTTTTTAAAAGTAAATTTATTTAACTGGAGAGTATTTTGCTGTGCTATTGTGTTTTTTGTACTTTTGAACAAGTTTTAGTGTTTGTGATGGATGAAATGTGTATTTTCCAGTCGAAAGCCATGAATGTCCATTCGTCTTGCTTCTGTTCAGCACAACTTATCAACAAAAAGATGGCAATATTTAGTTCAATGTCATAGTCATTGTTTAAGAACCAACATTTATTTTGACAACCATTTGTTTTTCTAAGTACATGAAAGAGTTATTATGAATAAAGATGCACCACATGCAGTATTTATTCAGACTTGTATTCTTTCACTTTATGTTGGTCTTATTACTAAAATGTCTTTAATTAATTTTCCCTCCATCAGTCTACACCCACATGCCTTAAATGACACGGTCAAAGCATGTTTGGGGTTTTCTTGGGTTTGACAAGCTCTGCACACCTTCATCTATTCTCTGCCATCTTTCCGTGCTGACCCTTTGGAGCCATGTCATCGGGTTTCCCATAGTCCTTCGTTTTGTTTTCTACCCGTCTGACGCCTCCCCGGATGGCTCAGTTTGCCCGAGCAGCTACCTGCATGAGTGCATTTTGTTCCAAACTTTTGTGTTTGTTTGTGTGCTGAATCCCAATCCAGTCTCTGAGCTCGGCTGTTCCTTTGACCCCATGCATGGTTTCTGCTTTGAAGTGATTGTTGGCTGGGAACCCTTAAGTATTATGACATCTGACTTCAATTCCCAAAATGTCATGAGCAAGATTATTTAACAGCGCCCTCTGCTGAACAAGGTTTAATTCAACCTTCCCCATTCTACCATACTAAACCTGCAATCACTCTTTGACTTCCCATTTTACCACATAACGAGTTCAGAGCCCGGAGGGGGAAAGAGTTTCCTCAGCTGTATGTCCGGTTTCAGCACCCCGGTCAGCGCATCTCACATCCGGGTTCAGTTGGTCTGCAGTAATGGAGAAAATGACCACGGCCTGCAGCAGATCCGTTACATTAACCCGGCCAGGCAGACGGTTCTGGAGTGTGTGTGTGTGTGTGGGTGGGGGGTAGGGGGGGGGGGGGGGGTGGAGTATTCCAGCGTTAGATAGCGAAAATAGGCTACGTCATGACGTCATTGCTGCAGCCTATGAGGACCAGGGCATGCAAACCAGGACGCGGAGGCTCGATGTAAAGAAATGTCTAATATAGGCTATTAAAAACAGAGAAAAGAAAGGCACGTTCTGCGTCTCAATCCGAAGGTGTGATCGGACTGAAGCACGTCTTCATCCCCTCTAAGCCCGAGCGGACATCGTCGGCGGGCTACTCCGCCCGCCTCGACCGCAGGACGGCATTGTTTGGCCCTCATCCCCTCCGTCTCCTCCGTCTCCATCTCTTTGAATCCTGCAACACGGGGACAGGCGGAGACCTGAAGACATCCCATGCACGCGCTGCGGGATGAGAGCACGCCGCCGGAACGCGCCGGAGAGATTGAGCAGGTCGTTGTGGCGTTAAAATGTGGAGGAGCCTTTTTTTCTGTGAGTGCGGACATGAAGGAGACGCGGAGCATCGTTGGATGGAGACGCAGCGGTGTGAAATGTGTCTATTTCAATATAGATCACATTTGAGGACATTTTAGATACTCCATACTGCGTTGATGTCATGTATGTGTGTGTGTGTGTGTGTGCGTGCATGCGTGCGTGTGGGCGTGCGTGGGCGTGTGAATGTCTATGTGAATGCGTGTGTTTCATCCTTTAATGCTCTTAAAGCTCGAACTTTCCTCGACAAGGGACAGGATTGCCACTCCTCGTGTTCACGGCGGACCTTGATTTATTAGCAATACAATTAAGGCACGCGGTGAATGCCAAGAGAGGAATCCCACTATCCACTAACTGCATGAGGATGAAGATGAAGATGAAGGTGAAGGGATTTAAAACATCTGCAGCGAGCGAGAGAGGGAGAAGGGGGGAGAGGGGGATGATAAAGATATAGAGGGAGAGAGGACGAGAGAGACAAGGAGAAATGGACAGAGAGGGAGATAGAGGGGAACAAAGGCCGCCTGTTTTCTGACCAACGATGACCAACATTTAACGGAAGTACATTGTTTTTGTAGCAGATTTCTTAACTTTAAGTCTTCCATGAAGAGATCAGTCTGCCAGATTGTGTTTTTTAATAATGACAATCATCAAAAGGTTCGGGTTTCTTACGTATTACAGTAAAATTGGTATATTCTGGTTTTGGACTGGACAAAATAAGCATTTGAAGTTGTCTTTTTGGACTTTGGAAATTCTTAACTTTCTACATGACAAAATATTAGTTGCAGCCGAAGTGACGCCTTCAAATGTATGGTTTTGTTTGACAAACACAATTCAGTTTTACTGCGATTCTTTGTTTTGTTTTCTTAACATTAGTCATCACATTGAACTGTAACTGATTAGCTTTATTGCTTTTAGAACTGTACAAATGTATAGTTATTTGTGTTTAGAAGTATATTAAAAAAGCATTTGAAAATGGTGTTATTTAGATTTATTGTCACAATAAGACTACTAAAGGCCAACTACGCTGTAAAGTCAACTAAAACTAATGACAAAAGGATAAGGCATAAATAGATAGCAATGAACAGATTTACTATTTTAACATCATGCATAATTTCTTTTATCGTATGTACCACACTTAATTTGTCTGAGCGCTAGTACGTTTTCACACATTTCCTGACCAATCATAACGAAGCTAAAATGGGGTGATTTAGAATTTAGTTGTTTCTTTCAAACTGCATGTTTTTGGCGTGTTCTCTCCTCCAGCTACATTTACTATTTTAAAATGTACCATTTTAAAAGCTGTATCAGATAAAAAGTGCATCGTCACAAACCTGAAACGGGATTCTTTCACGACAGCGACGCACGATGGTTTTTTGCTGTATTGAATTATAAAAGAAGCCTTAAATAAGTACAGCAGTTCAACGCACACAAGAATGCAGCGGTAATATTATTCCAATCAAACACTGCATGGAACATTTTACAGCACAATGACCACTTTTACTTTTGATAGTTTTAAAAAATGTATGTGATGATACTTAAAGGGTTTGTATGCAGAACTTGCAGTTGGTTTTCTAAATTGCATTTAGTGTTTATGTGCCTCAACTGCAGCTGTTCAAAAGGGATTCAAAGGATACTGCTGACCATTTTCTAGAAGTTTGTCATTTTCAACAAATCCCACGAAAAGACCCAAACTACAAACCTTGATCAGACAAACAACAGAGTGTGCACTATATTATGTCATTATAATGACAAGTTAATGAAGCAAAGGGAGAATTATGCATATTTTCGGTTGATAGTGCTTGAAAGCCAAACAAGTATGATGCTGAGAGAAAAACATATTTATAGCAGTTTTATGTGAATTAATAGGCATATAGTTGCAAGCGTGGTCCTGCAATTATATTTAAAAAGTGGTTTAACTTGACCAGTTTGTTCTTATTCAAACCCAAGCTCCTGCATAGTGCAGCGATGTTTTTTTTATTTGGGGCTACACTATCAACATCGATTTAGTCGTGCACACATAATCCTCGTCACAATAAAACCCCACAGAGAACCGATAAGTATATCTTTAATAATGGACATGATCAAATCTAAGTATGTGATAGTGACCTTTGATACAATGGATATTAAATTCAGGGGTGACTTTAAAACTTCTTAATTTTTTTGCATAAACGTTCTATAATCCAATACCAGTAATATAACTCTGATTGCTCCACAATCATACTCCCTCTCCTTTCTTTCATTCTTGCGCGCACACACACACACACAAAATACAGCAAGCAAGTAAAAAAAAGAAAAAAAAAGTTACACAACATATACCATATAGGCTAGTCTCTGGGTTTTCATACACTTGACAATAAATCAGTTAAGTATAATGCTACAGTTAAACATTTCGAGGCGATCTCAGTTAGAAATGCCGTTACATTAAAGCTTACATTGTCTGAGGATGATGTGGACGGGTTACAGCGATGGCAATGATGGCAAGATTGTAATTCTGTTAAGAAAGAACAAGAAACAAAAAGAAAAACAAAGTAACAGGCCTAGCTCGAGTTTAAAAAGCAGTACATGCCACATTTCCTCCGGAGTCCCATAAACCGAGAGCTCCTGTTTGAGCAGCGGGGAAATAAAAGTCACCGGAACAGGGGAATAAGAACGAAAGCAGATTCTGAGTTGAATCATACATAGAGTTGTGATTCCATAATTTATATTAAAAAAAAGAGAGGGACCACCTAAGAGCATTTGATCTCTAGACAGCTTTTCCTAGAAAGAATTTGGGGTGCAGTTCTGGGAAAAAAAGCAAATTGCTAATTTAATTTAGAGCTGAAAAGAAATGTTAACGCTCGACGCTTGGAGAGACAACATCGTACATACTCTCCAACTTATGAAAAATTTAGCTGTAAACCAGTTAGTATATTATTCAAAATATATTAACATTTACGCGTTCTAACGTCACAACCTCACACGATTATGACCACAGAGACTTTCAGTGTTCACCCTCGCAACCCAGTAAAACACCCCTCACATGAAAAAATGGGCTGTATAGAAGTTCACTTTTTTTCATCTGAAAATATAAAATACAACCGGCCACAAACAGATAGTGGACATTTGTCAATAAAGTCATATTTACTCGTTAAGATTAACCAATACAAGCACTTAACATTTCTCCAACACACAAACCACAAAGTGAACTGTCAGTGAATATCAGCAGCATGTTGTCGAGAGATTTTCAAAAACAGACGTGCAGATATTGGTTACTTATATTTAGTTAAGAATGCAAGTTCCGGGGTAGCGATAGATTGGTAAGGCTAAAAAAAAGAAAACAAAACAAAACCATGAAAATACGTATTGAAGCGATTCAACTGGTGGAACTTTCTTCATCCCTGCACACATCTTAGAGACAAGGAGCGTTGTGGGTCAAAAGTTTGATGGGGGGCCAAGTCGAAAAAAATTAAATAGAAAAAAATATTAGTTTCAATTTCTTTTTGTCCTAGTGTTCCTTTTTTTAAAGTCTAAATTCCATCGACTGTCGTCTTCGGATTATTTTTGGCGATCCTGTAATAGGGAATAAAGAATTAAATTAAAATCAACAAATTATGATACAGATCATTTAATATCACATCACTTACACAATTATATTCAGGAAAATAAGGAACAATATACGTTATCATTAAAGAGAAATTATATTTGAGAAATGACACAGCAGCTCTTTTATGTCGATGTGAGAGTTGTGTTTGTTGTGAGGCAGATCAAGTTGATTACTTCATGTGTGTGATTCACCATGCGTTTGAATCAATATCTGACTTCACCTGATCGATCCGGGATCGGCTCTGTATTGGGGCAGGCTCATAACTCTGTTAAAAAAAAATTAAAAAAAACACGTCTTACTGAAAATATATATTATTTTATTATAACATCAGCAGATTCTCCAATTTCACATGGTTGGACAAAAGTACAACCAATGGATGAAAGTGCAAGAAAAAGGGAAACCAGCTCGCAAAGAAGGGACTTTATAAATCAGATTATGAAAGAAAGGGGGGGGCAGTGTGACTTTTATTTGTATTTTCATATTTTAATCTTAGCCTTTCCGCGTAACATTTATTGCATAATGATCAAAAAGATGGCTTTCAGTCATTAAGGTGCAGTCTCTGTCTCAGGGCTTTATTTTCAGCATCAAACAATTCGCTAAAACAGAACCAAAATACACCTGCCACTCAGAATTACGTAAGTGGTTTAACTATGAGACAACCAATATAATGACATTGTATGGCAGCGGTCCCCAACCACCGGGCCGCACCACAGAAAGCTTATATATATATATTTTCTTCTTTTTTTCTGAAAAATGTTTTATTTTGAAAATTGACCGGATTTTCTCCTAATTATGTGCGCTCGTCCCTCTGACACATTCCCCACGCGTCACCAGGCGTTTTTCCTTTTCTTTCTGTCCTTTTACCGTACACGGCAGTTTCGCCAACCAGCGAACACAGACTACACCCCCCCCCCCCGTCGGTCGTTCCACCCGCAACAACTATAACACCACCCATCCCCCCCCCGTCGGACCTTCTCGACCGGTCCGCAAAATATTGTCTGACATGAAAACGGTCCGTGAGCTAAAAAAGGTTGGGGACCACTGTTGTATGGGACTGTATTTTCATACACTTCCTTAATATCTTTATACCCAATTTAAAAGTGCCATGTGTCTAGGAGGAAAAGACTACCTTTTTCACCACCTCCTCCTCCTCCTGCTTCTTCTCATAGTGGGAAAAGTCATCAAAGAGGGAGGTGGTGTGTTTGTACTGGGCGATAATCTTGAGCACCTGCTTGGCTTTTTCCAGGGGAACCTCTTGAGTGTCGCGAGAGTTGGTGACGGGCTTGTTGTCATTGTTCTCCAGGCGGATGTGTCGCAGCTGGCTGTTGGGCACGTCCTTAACAAACAACCAGTTCACATCAAACTTGCCCTTCCACTTGTCCTGCGCCCAAACGCCGGCGCTGGTGCCGTAGTCCACGGGCGAGCGCATTTCGGCCACGCCGCAGAAATGGCCGCTGCCGTTGACGCTGAACAACAAGTAGACGGGACCTTTAGAGTTCATAGCTCTGAAGGCCGAGTCCAAGCGCTTGTTGCCGTGCTCCGTGCTGCACCAGATGGAGTACTTGATGGAGCGGTGGATGTCGTCCTCGGAGTAGCTTTTGATGATGAACACGCGTCCGTTCTTTAGGTTCCAGTCGAACTCCTTGGGGTTGTAGCTGTGGACGGCGCGCAGCTTCTCCAGCACGGGGTGGGACTCTGATCCCGGGTCCGGGGGCGCACCGCCGCCCCCTCCGTTACCGACACCGCCACCGTTGGAGGAGCCGCTGCTGTCCAAGCTTCCCCCGCCGTAGCAGAGGTTGCGGTTGCGTGGCGCTATCCAGCGGGTCTGAGGTGTCGGAGCGGAGTTGTGGTTCTGGTAAGACTGTGGAGGAGGAAGTGGGGGACCCTGCATGGTCATTTGCTGCACGAGGGACTGGGCAGACTGCAGGGACTGTTGAAGGGGGGGTAGGAGACTGGGGGCATGGGAGTGAAGCTGGGGCTGTTGGTGATGGTGGTGGTGGTGGTGGTGATGGGGGGGCAAAGGAGGGGCCATCTTATTAAGAGCCCCTTTATTCTCCCATGTATCAATGTCCATGTTGTGTTTAACAGGAGGTGGAGGCAGACCTCCTCCAACTATGGGTGCGCCGAGTTTGTTCTTGGCCTTTTGTTGCGGCAGCTTGGCAGGTTTACCAGCAATAGCAGCCCACGATGTCGGTTTCGGAGGGGGCATTCCAATTGGTGCGCCGCCGTTGCCCGTAGCAACGGCTGCAGCCACACTGCCACCTCCAAGGGAGCCTGCGCTCTTCACACCCAAGCCACTTCCTGTCAGATCCCCACCTATCTTTAGGCCCAGCATGCCGTGTTCAAGGCTGTTCATACCCGGTGCCTTACTCAGGGTGTCACTATGGAAACCCGTCTGACCATCGGGGACCAAGGTGCCTCCCAGAGAGCTCGGCGGGTAACTGTAGCTTCCCCCGTAGGCCGAGCTCTGGGTCTGCTGGCCCTGAGAGCCACTGGTTCCCCAGGCTGAGAAGGCCGGGTTCTCCGGGAAAAAGTTGAACCTGTGAGGGTAGATGCTGCTGCTGAGGCCGCCCGGCTGTCCAAACACCGTGTCGTGCATGAAATGATGGTCTCCATTGCTGAGGGGGGCGTAGGGTGTCAGGTAGGGAATTGGTGGATCACCTCCTGTAGACCAAGGAGCCTCACTGAGAGGGTAAGGAAATCCAATGGAGGGGGCATAGTAGCTGGACAGGTAAGGGTCTGTCATGGATTGATAGCTGTTATTCTACAAACACAAATAGAATAAAGGTAATGTGTTAGGGCTACGAGATGCAGCGATATGGAATCATTCCAGTGAAACAGACGGGATATATGGGATGTTTCCTACCTGATTAGACTGGTTTGTGAGATACGGCTCAAAGTCATTGTCATGCACTGTGTCCTTCTGGTGGAGGGAACCATTCTGCACTGAAACTGGAAAAGCTGCAAACAAGTCAAACTGTTGTCAAAGCTGAAATATACACACTGCCCAAAACAAACCTAATAATGCCAAGTTTAAATATCAGCATGGTATGAGCCGTCATTACAACATCACAGACTCATAACATCGTTTTGTAACATCCAGCATCACCCCCGGTACGCTAGAGCCACACTGAAGTCAGTCAGGCAGTTAAAAGTGAAAGTGATTTGATTTCTATTGATAAAGCTGTTTTTTCGATTATGTTCGAGGGACATAGCAAGCACAATATGTAATAAAGCAAATATAACGTTAGTATTTGGTGCTGCAGAGACATCATTTTTTTTCTCAGTTGACATGAGGACCGCATCAATACACAGGTCAGATGTATCACACATATGGTATCAGCTGCTAAGAAGCTCCATGTGCCACATCTCCAAAAAGGTTGAGAAGACATGTTCTTCCTACCTTTGCTTGCATCTTGTCCTTTCGTTGTCTTTAGTTGTCACATTGAAAGGAGGGATGCATGTGAAATGAGGGGGAAAAAAACAAAAAACGCTTGCATGGGTCTCCAGTGTTACTTCAAAGCATCACACATCATCTCAGCTGCACAGTGGCGTGCGTTACATGCGCGGACCCGGAGGCGCTTGCTCGGCTGCCTCTCGGCTGCCTGCCGCTCCGAGCGGAGCAGCGGGCCCTTCGTCGCTGTCACCGGACAGATTTTGAGGTGTTATCTGCCCTCCCTGTTGGCTAACTAGCTGGCTAGCTTGGGAATGGTGGCAACGTCTTCAAGAGTGGGATGCACAGACACCGCACAGGCGCGCGCGCGCACACACACACACACACACGCGCGCGCGCACACACGCATAATACACACACGTACACACGCACATCTCTGTAGGGAATACAGCGCTGATCCCCGCTGCTTACCTGAGGGTCGATGCTAGCGGCAGACATCATTCATCCGCCAGGTGTTTTGTCGGACTGAGAAACCCTCGCGACACGTACGGCGTTGTAAGCTGCAGGCTAATGGCTGGGAAAGCTGCTTCCCTGATCCGCGGCAGTTAGCTAACAGTGAAAGCCGGCTAGCAGCAGCCGTTAGCCGGTGTCTCTGCTCGTCGTGGCCCCCGCTGGCACCGTGCGCTGCCCTGTCGACATTAATCCAGCGGGGCTTCGATCCGCTGCCACCCCCCTCGCCGTTAAATTAAAATCCGACCAGCCTTGGTGGCCCTGCTCACTTGCCCCAATGGCAGCTTCATCCGGGGTCTGAGGGGCGGAAATGACGGCGGTGACGTGGAGGAGGCGTTCGCGGCTAACGTTACCTAGCAGCAGGAAAGATGATGAAGAATTGGCTTGTTTTGTCTGGATTTATTTTATTTTTATATCTGTTTCCCGACATGATAAATATGAACCCTCGTATGTGTTGATGGTATATTAATTGTTTCAATTAATAAGCCCATTATTTGGTTATAAATTATTTGAAAATATTATTTTTGTGATCACTTGTATCCTAGTACATTTCTATTTTCTTACTGTTTTGCACCAGTTTGTGTTGTCTTATCTGGTATGCATGTGTTCTGGTACATATTGTGTTATCTGTGCTCAATTAGATTGATGTGGAAAAAAGCAATATAGTATTCTCCCTTGCAGTTGTGCTTACATCATATGTACATTTTAAAACACTGTTCTTTAATGAATTTACCTTTTGATAAGTATTATCTTCTGCCTGTCTATTCGTCCATATGTGGCAGCACTGTATTATTGCTTCAAAGCTTACATGATTAATATATTTGTCCTTCTATGACACATGGTTGCGCAACAAAATACGAAGTGTAGCCAGTTTACACACAAGTAGAACATATTTACAGATATTTAAATTAGAATAAAATGAAATTAAGTAGCATACATGGTTACCTTACAGATGTAAATCCTTGAACAATTTCACATACAGACCCTCCTGTATGTGAAGGGGGAAAAACAAACAGTTTAGTCATATAAATCTTTTAAAATAAAAAAGTATACCACATTGCAAGCTGTTTTGCGAGTGTTTATTTTACTGAATTAAATCATACACAAGTTAGAATTGTTACTTCATCAGTTTTAACAGTAATATTGTTTGGACCAGCGCATTGATGCGTGGTTTTGCAACAGGTGTTTTTATTGAAAATTATACGCTAACTACATGATGGCAGTTCCTTCCTTCGGCCCGGTTCCTTCTTGGTTTCCCTCAACCACTTTACATGTGTGGTTATTTAGAATCTACGCAAAAGAAAAGAAAAATACACATTGTGTTAGATGTTAAACAGATATGAAATATGAAATACAACGGATGGAAAAAATAGGTTTCACTAGAGAAGCAACTGAGAGGGTTTGGGTGGAAGATAGAAATCACCACTGATGTGAACTAAAATTAGAACAAACAAAAACACATAAAGAAATAAATTATATAAAGAAATCAAGCTCAGTATAAAGGAAAGAAAATAGATCATATTGTAGAAAATACTTAAAATGGATAATGCATGTAAAAGTATTCATATTTGTTAAAATACCAGGAGCATGCAGCTGTCTTCCTCCTCTGAGAAAGTGCTGACGATGTAGAAGGCATAAACAAATCCGGGGAGCTACAGGAAATAATACAAATATAAATAAGAGTGATTCACAGAGTGAAAAGGGAGTTTTCAAATGGTCCCCAATCATCCCCAAGCATTATTCATCACAAAGCTTTGTATAGAAACACTCTCTTGGTGGTGATAACACGGAACATTTGACAGAGGACCTTTTGATATTGTCACAGTCAGAAATGCACAGTTGACAATAATAAAATGAATTCCCCTCAGCTGCTCCCTACATGTTATTGATAACGCTGGTCATTATCGTCTGCTGTGGTACAGGCTTCTTTTGTTTACAGCTCTCATAGGTGCAGTGGCTCAACCACAATATTTCTTAGAATTTAGATTGTTTAGATATATAAGTTATTTATGATCAGTTCCACATTTTGTTTTCAACGTATACGGCTTTTGAACGTTTTTATCTTGATGAAAGAATTGGTACTCTTCCAAGCTGCTGGCAAGCTGCTTCACACAGTTGTTGTCAAAGACGCAGCATCAGATTAAATGTAAACATGAGAAAAGAATCCAGAGGCTGAGAAGCTCAGCATCACACTAAACACCACCGGACACCAGTGACAACGTCGTGCCATTTTTAAATGTTCGAGGCAGGTTTTCCAATTTAGAGTTGCTGTTGCTAGGCAACCCGCCGTTCCTGTGAGTGGATATTTACTCATATTAAAAGAACATGAAATGATAAATTTACTTTGAATTGGAGTTTTTTAAAGCATAATCTAGTAATTCTGTTTTACATGTTCTCCTGTTTAAATAGTACATAATAATCCTAATGAGTTTCTTATGTCAGTGACGGAGACTCACGGATACGAGTAACTGGACGATGCGGTGCAGGATTTCGATGTACTGGTATTCCAGCCAGCTCAGCACCGTGGTCAGCTGTGGGTTTTGCTGGTTCTGCTCAGGGAAGGCCCTCGCTCTCGTGCCTCGGACCGGTGTCCTTCCACCAGAGCAATGCGATGATACTCCCAGCGAGAAGACATCAATGTGCTGCAGTGATACGACAGGCAGAGAAGATGTGATGGTGACTTTTCACCTCTTGGGTTCTGGAAAATATTCTGCTTGAAATAGATCAGAAGATACTAGCTGACCAAAAAGTTTTATTAAAAACTCCTTCAAGCTCAACATCAGGCAACAAAAAAAAGTATGAAATGATAATTAAATGATTAATTATCTCATATTTCTTGATCCAAAACCAGCAAATATTATAAATACATTTGTGTAGACTAGTCAGTTCATTATTGTAATTTCCAATACAACCGCAGATACAACTGCTAATATTACTATTGAAATGACTGTTTCTATCACTAGTATGAGCCCAAAAAATGTATTAATATTATTTCCAAAGCAGAGGATACATAAACAACTTGTGTCAACAGGAACAAAGTGTGAACTGAGTGTTGTGACTGCAGCTCCTGTCAGTCAGAAGGACAGCAGATAAGCTCAACACTGTATTTGTGATCGGACGCTGTGTGGGTCTCTAATTATGACACTTATGTGACTTATCTTTGAGAGACCTCCCAAATCCAGGTAGAGACAGCTGACAAAGACATTCCAGCCGACCCACAGCAACGTCCACAGCAGGTACTGAGAGCACAAGTCAACAAAAACTATGATTGTTAGTAAAAAAACAACAACGATGTGTTTTTTCCCTCTAAAATAAAAATCCAACCGTTCCCTCACCATGAAAACATAGCGTGATCTATACTGGATGACACCAAACCGGCCCAGGATGACCATGACCATGTAGAAGAAGTGCAGTGCTGTGATGCTTTTCATAACATCTTACTTAAGATGCATTGGAAAATGGCTCGTCTTACATGAGCAACAGTCTAAAACCAAAATATATACAGAGTATTTTAATGGAACACCATTGCAACATTTCAGAGCCTGGAACCACCTCTAACTTTCATCTTTCATCTTAGTTTGAAGTTGATGCACAAACCTGAAAGAATAATGACCATGTGAGTGGAAAGTCATCAAATACAACACACAAGAATGTGTTTAACAGCTATTAAAGCTATTAATTGGGAATAAAATGTTTGACGCCTCTGGGTATAACAAAAGATTCAAAATGTACAGAAAAAGAACATTACAAAAGCGTCCAAGCATCAACAAATAAACTTACTTCTATGAGTCTTTCAGCTATTCGCTTCATTAAAAAGGGAGGATCAATTTTGTGGTTTGAATGAATATAAGTTGTATCACCAGGGGGAAGCAGATGTGTTTAGGTGGAAGCAGGATGACAGAAAAACATCTTACCAACTGCAGACAACACAGGGGGATCAGCATGCATCGTGCCGAGCAGCAGCCCATTTTCCTCTCCGTTGTTTTAGATGATGATGATGAGGATGAAAAGGAAGATGCAGATGTGGACAACAGTGAAGTGACTAAATTAGTTTTATAAATGCCAAATGTCCAGACGTTTGGGGAAACGTAAAACGCAGTACACCTGATGAGGAAAATACTTTAAGCTGTCTCTGTGTGGGAACTCCGGGGGAGGGGAGGCTGTATGAGAGGTAGTTAATGCCAGGATAGGGAGAGGAGGGGAAATCTCCAACGACAAAGTCAATGATGCTGTGAGGCTTTTAAAATTCAAAAACACTGTCTGTACAAAGAATACCATGAAATAATACTAAAAGAAGTTAGATGAATTAGCATTTCCATCCATTAATGTACTATATGTGGATATTGGAAATGAACACACACTCATTTTCAAGTGACATGCTGTTGAGCCATTGCAGAAGAGGAGGTTGCAATTAAAGACGCAATGAAAAAAGTCAACCCTGAAAAAACAAGATTGAAATATGATGATTTTGTTTTATTGAAACATGATGTTATTGTTCCAGGTCCAATTGTTTCCATTGCCCCATTTAGCTTTTAGCAATGCACAAATTTTGTTGTCTTTTTCTTCTAATTTCCAGCTCAAGTTCATACGAAGGATTTTGATACTAGATTCCCTACACTAAGCGGAAAAAAACATGATTGAAATGAGTTGTGAACTGCAAAAAAGCATCTGAAGATGTTCCCATGTGTTTTTGTGGTGTGGCTTTTCCATGACATTTTTTGACCAACATTTTTTTTTACCTGTCTTTACAGGATATATTTTGACCTTTAATTGATTAATTAATTGATTAATACTTAATATTTTTACTTTTTTCAAAGCTATTTTCAAATAATATTTTTACATTACATTTTTTAACCAAACATATTTCAATTTTTTTTAACCTTATATATATTCACTTTTTTTCATCTATCTCCAGAATAATTCTCCTGGCTCTCCCAGCGTGGCACGGATCGACCCTCATACAGCAACACCATCTCCTGCACCGTGATAGGATGCTGCTCTCCTGCAACGCCCGGTTGACGCCGGTACGCGGCGGTAGAGAGCGGTGGAGGTGTGAGTGAGTGGCAAGGTTACAACAAGACATACTGGCCTACTTTTATATCTATCATGACATGTGGACCTAAATATTTGGTAGAACTTGACTTGACATTGTGTTATTGAAAAGGCGTTCTAGAATAAAACACTGTGGGAAGAGCAAACATGTAAATCACATACAAATATGTGTGTCACACCCACATGAGTCTCATTGAGTTTCACTCTTCAGGTTTTAAGCCGAAGTGATTGAGTTTCAGTACTGAGGTTAAACGAGCATTCAAAATACAACAATAGCCTACAACAAAAAATAACTCCAACAGGTAAATGAAAACATTCTTTGTCGAAATGACGGACCTGACAGGGAAATGTAGTTCCTTAATCTAAATTCTAAATAAATCTAAAAGAGGTTTAACCAGAGCCATGTGCACCTCGTGCAGGGACCGCGAAATCCTCCCGAGCCGCACTCAGCGCGTTCATCTGACGCCGCTACGCGCGCACCTCCGCCTCCTTCCGAGGGAGGACGCTAGAATCAAAAGACAAATTCAAAATCGGGGGGTCTCCAGCTCTGCGTGTCACATGGAAGCACAGTAGCCGAGCCGAGGGGATGTGAGCGCAGATGGAAGGGGCTTGAGGGACCGCGGAGGAGAACAACCCGGGGAGCACATCGGAGATCCAGCGGCGGCACAAAGGCGGGTCCGACCCGTGCCGGGCCTCCCTTCTGGCTGGGGAGCGAGAGGTGCGCGGACAGGGCGCACGAGCGGGTCGGCGGGCGCTCGTCGGGTGTCACATGCAATATGCAGCATTCCCGTTTCCTCAAGCCCGACAACGCCAAGTTATCGCCTTCGATCGATTGTGCTCGCGGGGAGCGCCATGGTCCGAGGGGAAGCAGAAACTGAAGGAAGCGACCGGGGTTGACGCTGCGCCCCCCCCACCCCCCACCCCTCGCTCCCAGCCCCCCCCCTCCAAAAAAAATCTCCAAAACTGAGTGAGTACAGGGAGGCTATAGCGCAATGCTCTGTGCCCGTGACTGTGTGATAGGCTGGAGGGAGGTGTGAGGGGGGGGGGGTTGGGGGTTGCATTCATATGTGCCTATAGATTCAGCTTGATAAGCGGCATCCTTTATTAATCCAGGAAATGTAACCCATGAGCTTTTGGCCGGTTTCCTCCTCTTTCTTTGTGTCCGCCCTGCCGGTGCACCCCCCTGCCCCCCCCCCCCCGGTCATGCATTTAACACAGACACGTGTGCACCCACCTCTGCCTAAATGCGCTGGCGTTTTAATGATTTCAAGCCCCGAAATAAAAGCATTCGTCAGATAACCTGACATTGATTTGATGAGAGGAAGGTGCAGGAAGCTTTCAACCCCCCTTTACCCCCCCCCCTCCCTCAGTGAGAAGTCCCTCCTGACTGTGAAGCATAAAGATAATTAACGTAAGAGCTTCCGGTAACAATTTCAGCCTCCCTCTCCTTAACCTCCCTTACCTTTGTCATGAGTAGAACGGGGGGGGGGGGGGGGGGGCTTTTGTGTAAGTTGCCAGCTGACCTCGGGGACACACCCCCCTATGCCATCCTCACTTTGATCTGACAATGAATCGGAAACACTTGGATGATTCGATGGGGAAGAAAGGGAGGAGGAGGAGGAGGAGAGAGAGGGAAACACACATCTGGGAGGCTTAATGAAACCGTGATAAAAGCTCACTGCATCAGCATGAAATTCTTCTGTTGCTGTGATCGCCCATCGCCTGCACCCCCCCCCCCCCCCCTACACACATACAGACACACTTCACATCCTCCCTGCCCCCCCGCCGGCATCGCTTAGAGCCGTGGTTTGTAACCTGTTGTCACGGGCATCGCCGCAGCCTGAGGTGTCACAGCCCAGAGGCGCGGCCACGCGGGATCGATGCCGCGGAGTGGGGGCCATCATGAGCCACGTATACGTACAGCGCGCGCGCACGGATGATTTTTACTGCACACAGTGTAAAAAAAAAAAACATGGTTGGATGGATTTGGGGTTTTAAAAAAAAAATCTTTTTTCGCTGGTTAACGGATGTGAATCATGTGATCACAAGTGATGATTCTTTAATTTGCTGCGAGTGTTTGTGTCAGAGGCAGCGTGGCGCAGATAAAGACTCAGCTTCCTTCCTCACAGGGGCATTAATCGTTGTTGCAAGCAAACATTTGACCTAATTCACATTCTCACACAATAGCAGCCCCCCCCCACCCGCCCCCTCCCCTCCTCTCTCCCTCCATCCCTCCATCCCTCTCTCACACACACACACGCACACGCACAAGCACGCACTGCTGTTATTCGTGTCACCCAGAGGGTGAGGTTTTGCTCCACATGAACTCCCAGGTGGTTTATCAAAACCTGAGCAGATTGACAGAGAGGAGGCCATTGCTGGCTGGCTGAGCTCTAAAGAGGCTCTCGTGTCATTAATAATGAACCAACATGTTAATGCTGTGCATGTTCCTAGAGATCGGAGAAGCTAATTGGTGTTTTTGTTTTGCAATTTGTTGTCACACAATGTGTTCCTAAAAATGCATTTTATCAAAACGATAACAGAATACATTCTTTACTTTTTGTTGTTGTTGCTGAGCCAATACCATGAGCATTCATTTACTTATTTAAGGGAGTTGGAGTATTTAGTTTTAAAATGGGACAAAATAATGTGCCATTCTTTTGCTCAATTTGCTAAAAACGCATGATCTGTTTCGTTGAGTGTGTCACACTGTTTCCTTAAAGCATATTTAATTGTTGATATTGTCCAAGTCAACAGTTTATATTCATTCATTTGGACTAAAAATATAAACTTCTTGATTGATTGATGATAATTGATGGTGGTTGATGGTTTAATAACAGTATAGAGAACATCAAGATTCCCAAGATGATGTCTTCAAAACAGTTTCAAATCCAGATAAAACCAATTTATCATCATGTCAGAACCAGAATTGCAGCAAGTTTGATTTGAGAAGCAGAATCATAAATTGATTGGTCAAATCATAAGAAAATTATTGGCAGCTATATTGATAAATAGTTAAATTAATCTATTCTAATGGTTTTCCATCTTCTCCAATTGTGAGGATTTCTGCTTTTCCCGTTTTGTATTAATTAATTTATAACTGACATTTTATAAACAAACAATTTATTATAATTAGGAAAATATGCAACAACATTAATGAACGGTAAAACTTGTTGCTGTCATGTGGTGAAAAGAAAATGTCACTGCCCATGTCCAACTCTATAAATACGTTCGATACGTTTTTAGATCAAAGCAGCGATTTAATGACATTGAGAGTGGAGCATTGATTACGGATGTTTTTGGTTTTATACACCAAATGATAAAAAATACTAATAGCTTGTCTCTTGTGAAAAGACAACAGGACGAATAAGTAGAAATCAGGAATATAACGTGAGCTCAAAGGTCCACTTCACCTTCTGGTTTTCAGAGCATCCAAACACCATGTTGTGTCGCTATATGCTGTTCCCAAAGCCAAAGAATACACGTTTATGTTTTTAACTCACTGCTTCTTCAGTGATGATGAAGTGCATGTGATTCAGGACACCAGGTATTAATGATCAACAATGCTCCAGTTTCTCCCGTCCCTTCTGGACTGTGAAACCACGTCGGAGGCAACACCTGCTAAATCCGCACCTGCAGGTATTCTCTGGTATTTTGTAATGAGCAAACTGAGCGCCACAGGCTTGAGAGCGGGTGGGGGGTGGGGGGGGGGGGGGGCTCTGTACCTGGCTGAAGGGGAAGGGGCTTTGTTTAGCAAAAAAATCCTCCAAGGGAGGGCCTCTCCCTTGCTCCCGCTCTGAGCTCTATGTCCAATTGGTCGGCTCATGTGAGCCAGCTCCAGGGCCAGAGATTACACTGCAGTGCCGAGGCGTTACTCCGGCTGATCGCCGCAGGCAGAGGCAGGGGGGGGGGGCTGAATGGGGAGGAGAAGAATGGGTGGGGAGGTGCGGACGCGCTCAATGAGATACAGGGAAGAGGAAGGAACCCTCGTTAGAAATGTGACAGCCTCCTCTCATCATCTGCTTTTCGGTGTCGTCTTCAAACACCTGCCACCGGACTCCCACGCATTCCTCCCCTCCTCTCTCTCCCTCCCTCTTTTCTTTTTACTCCACACCTACACCTTCCCACTTTCTTCCCTCTCATTACCCTCTCCGTCTCGTCTCTCCTCGCCTCTGTTGTCAAATCAGCACGGGTGTAATTGCAGTCGTGTTGTTGCAACTGCAAATTAAATGATCGCTGTCTCCTGGCTGCATCTCATTCTTTAAATCCGTTGGCGTTCAAATGGGTCTGTGACACCTCTGACACGTTTGCTGGCTGCTGTTGAAATACCCAAAATAATTCCACAGACGTGCCGGTAAATCACTTTCTCAAGATGTGTTCAAAGAAGGAGGCCTAATTATGTTGGTCACCCAGCATGGCTAAATTCGACTTCGATGATATTAAGAGCCAAGTAGCATGGGGTTCATTTGAATAGGGAAACAAAGCGTTTGGTTTCTGGTCAGGGCCCTTCTGAACTTACAAGGCAAACTACAAGCAGCGTGCAAATAACCACAAAGACGTCTGTGTTTGAAATGTGGTGCAAATTGGATTTCATGCTGTGAACAGTGGGGTTTGTGGCTGGAGCTCCTCAGAGAGATGCAAATGACCCACAAAGTGTGCAAAACTTACACCGTGCAGAGCCTTATAAAGTCCTCCTGTCTCAGCTGACATCTCCAGTAAGAGAATGTTTCCACCGAAAGGAACATAAACAAAATAAAAAATAGAGGAGAAACGGTTGGTCAAGAAAACACAGAGAAGCTCAGATGTCTTTACATTATAAATTAGTCTTTGCCTTTGTAGTAAATCTCTAAATCCTCTATATTGAAACTATTTATGAAATATGTATCTTGTACAAAACGTAATCAAACCCAAGTGAATGATTTGACCAAATGACGAGGTCATGACGAGACTTTTAGGGAAGAAGAGGCAAGAACAGAGAAGGGATGCTTAAGTCCTTATTAGACCTTACAGATCTCTACTGCAGCGCCAAAGCAACATTATGAGACACGTTGTTCACCAGACTACATAAATATATTCTGTCTGTGAGGAAAGGATCCACGAGCCAAATACATTGTTTAAAGAATCCGATTTAATCGTTCGCTAGAATGAATGCGGAAAAGTCCGTCTTAAAGCAACAAGATCCATCCTGGAGCTTTCTGTTCTGTAAGCTCCATGAATACACAAGAGACATTTGGTCGGACGTATACAGACAGCTGAGCATCATCATCATCATCATCAACCCAACAACAAGACTTTGAAAAAAACAAAAAACAGGCAGCAGTCTGCAGCAACAGGCAGCAGTCTGCCGCTCAGCCTTGTTGTTGCTGATGGACAAGTGACAAATAAACACACAGTCACATTAGACAGATGGCGTGATTCGGCAGAGATTAGAACGAGCGCGTAGATTTTTTTGCTCTGGCGCCAGGTTTGTTATTGTCTATTTAAAGCGCATTACGCTGCCAAATGTGAAATTGTCTGGTAAGCAGCAAGGAGCGGCAAGAGGGACGCTCTGCTTTCATTCCCGTCTCCTTCAGTGTTTCGGGTCACTCCGCCTGATGGCACGTGCAGCTTTGGAGGTGACGCATCGCACCTTCTCAATATGCATTTTGTGCTTGTTTGATAGGTGATATGAACTTACACATGTGCATCAGCACCAGCTGCTGGACACGCAGGTCTCAGGTCTCAGCCTTCAGATTTTTAAATTCCCACTTTTCTTCTTCCCAAACTGCTGCTTCCCTTCACAGTGGGAATATGTTGCTTGTGGTTCCGCTGCAATGTTAACCCACTTAGCGTTTGATCATTTTAGCAATTAAGCGCCGCTCGCTGCTTTCTCGCTGCAGATCCCAGAGAGGCCGTGGCACTTCCCCGCGTGGATGAGTTGTGCGGTCGTGTGTGCGAGTGTGCGCGTGCGTGTGTGTGAGAGCAAGTGAGCGTCAGCGCTCCCACATGGCCTCCATGCAGGACGGGCTTATCTTCACGGCTCCTCCCTACGGCAAGGTCCTGCTGCTGGGGTGCTATCGCTGCTGCCTCGGCCTTTGTTGTCACAATCCTCATCGTGGTGCTCTGCGTGGGCTGCCAGAGGTGAGGCGCCGCGCACAGACACACACACACACACACACACACACACACATGTTCATTTACACGTGCAAGCCGCCAGTGGTGGAAGAATTCCTCAGGGACTTTACAGAAGAAGACAACAAGGTACTTTGTATTACGTGCATTGGAAATACTGACTGCTGCAGCTGGTACTGTTGGTAAATTTAAGCTGTAATAATACATCATAAGTGATTAGTTGAAATTGATTTCATTTTTAAGTATGAATACAGTAACTACAGCTGTTAAACAAATGTAAAAAGTGGAATATCTTCCACGTTCATGGATAGTGACTCAAACTCTGCACACACACATACACATAAGCGCATGACTAAGTGTCTACCCGGGTTACAGAGCGCTTGTGTGTTCCACAGGAAGGGGAAGACACACAATGTTCCCAGTGAGGGGGGAAAACACCGTCTCATGGACATGGTAGGTATCAGGCTCCTCCATGTTTGGAAGCAACTCAATTCACCAGGGAACAACATTTCAGATGCACCTTCTTTTTGTAACTGGATCTTTGTGTGTGTGTGTGTGTGTGTGTGTGTGTGTTGTCAGGGTATACTCAGGCAGTCAAAGCTGCGGTCCATCAGTAAATCCGGCACTGAGATGAACAAGATGAACTGCAATGGCAAAAGTGAGTGAATTTTTAACATAAATCCTGACTTCTGAACTGAACCTGACTGTCTGATGAAAATCTTTTATCCCCTTAATGGAATGAAACAGTCTGTTCTTGTCTTCGCTGCATGACAAAGCACCCTTTTCCGTTTTTAATGTTGCAGTTTAATGTGCAGCCAATTTTAGACACTTTGTGTGTTGCTAGATGTGTTGGTATACCATTGCATCATATTATATTTGCATGGTTTGTTGAATGTAAGAACTATGGTCTAACATTTGCCTTCAACACTGTCCTCGGCCCGCTCCACATCCACTCCGGCCCCAAATTCATGAACAGCCCTCCTGCAATTTACCCGAAAACAGAATACACGTTACGATAACAACTCATTTCAACTGAACTGTTCAATTTTTAATTTACAAACATGCATATCTCTCTCTAGAAGACACAAATCAGAGAGCCAACACAAGTCCCGGCGCTCCGTCGCTGCCAGTCAGCAGGGAGCTGTGTATGTGGGCACTGTGACAGAAGCCTTAAAGGCTTTGAAGAAACATAAGCACATGTCCTGCTTCATACTTGTCCTGCTTTCACTGCAGTGGAATCAAGTCAATTTGGACCCGTTTCCTCCAACAGCTGCTCCCAGTTCACCGTCAGCTCCAGATCGTCTCTTTCTACCAGCGAGAGATTCATTCATGTTCACATATGTTCGTCTACTACAAATGTGCGTGAGTTCTGTTTTCTGGTGGGCATCGGCCTGTAAGGGGCAGCTAAAAAGTAAAAAGGTCCAGCCAGCGTAGACCGTCCGGCCCCTCGGGTCTAACTCTGACCTTCGTTCTCAAGGCAGGCAGCTTCCCCAGGTTCCCTCTGGAGAGGACGGGGAGCACACTTACTCTGAAGTGGGCCGAGGCTCCTCCACCACACGTACTGACGATGCCATGTACGCCATGGTAGGCAGGGCCGGGCAGACGGACACGCCGGCCCCTCCGGCCGTCCCCGCCAACACCCCGGCTCCCCCGGACCCGGACGGCGACGTGGAGGGAGGGCTGCCCGAACCAGAGTCCGAGGTCATGTCCCACCCTCACCCTCCGGAGACGGCCGAGTACGCGTGCGTCAGGAAGCTGAGGAAGGCCGAAAAGGCCCCCCAAAAGAGGGACAGCGGGACGGACATGGGGGAGCCGCCGGTGCCGCCTCCGCGACACGCCCCGCCGTCACACCCCGCCCCTCCTCCGCCACACCCACACAGCACGAAGTTGCCCCGGAGAAACGTGGACGCCTTCAGTGTCCCGGCGTTCCCAAAGGTTTGTAGAGGAACGTTTACCAACAGTCATTCAGCTTCAAATTTCACACATTTCATATTGTGCAATAGTTTGACAGTAAAAAATCAAGGTGCACTTACTAAAAGCTTTTCTCCAGCGCTTTCAGCTGCATCTCATCTCCATGACAACTGGGCAATCACTCCGATACGCCGATAAAGACCATGAGATAAGCAGTTGAAAGTGGAACATTTCATGTAAGGTTCCCCAGTGGATTAAGATTGTTATCATACAAACATCTCTGCTATGAGGCCGGACAGTCTGCTCTCACACTTGCAGAGGGGATTCGGTTTTATGGCATGAGGAAAGTGAAGAGGTGATGACCTGAGTGGGAGATTGGAGTTCACAGCTCAGCAAGGTGGGTTCTCCAGCGGTCTGACGTGGACCAGCAGAGCTGATCGTACCAAGTGTGGATAGAAATGTTGTTTTTGTCATTGATTCGGTCCACCACTTTAGTCAGGAATGAAGTATTTTGTGTTGCCACTATGTTCAGTGCAGACATTCATTGATTGAGGTGTAAGGTTGGAATGAGAAATACAATAGAAACAGCAGTAACATTAAAGTAGGGATATTTTACAATAAGTTCCACAACTCTCACCAGAGTCAGTAAATACCTGCAGGCTCTTGTGTTCCCATTACAGTGGACAACAAATTAAAGTAATAGATATTCATATCTTAACCTTACAAAATATAAAATAGTATTACCTGATCCGGATCCAAATAGTATGCAGTGTAAACTGGAGAGCAAAGCTAATTTAACAAAGGACCGCTCGCCATCAAGGCGTGCAGCCCCCCCACGGTGATCTTTTGGAATAAAAGCACCACAGTAGAAAAAAACACTCCCTCCAGTAACCGTCCATATCATCCCTCAGACAGCGTGCATGCGTATCTCTCCCCCTTAGTGGGGAGGAAGCCTTCCAGATGCCGAGAATGGACACGGCCGTTACCGTGCCAACGCCGCAATTTCCACCGCACCCAGGCCCCGTCCCGCACGGCGCTGTGATGCGAGCTGTGTGTATTTGTGGAATGACTCTTCGGCCCAGTGGGGGGTGTTTCTGCCCGCGCGTGCTCGCAGCAGCGGGGCGTGAAGGCGGGATTCCCACCTCTTAAACGTGGACACGAGGCTCCGTCCTCCCCTCCAGGTGACTGTGGGAGACCACTCGCTGCCCCGCGCGAGGTCAGCGAGGTCGTGCTATCCGCCGCGACCCGAGTGAGTTCGGCAACGCGTACGCGGCTCACAGGCTTCCGTGTGAGCGCCGTCTCCTTATTGTGGATGACGCAACATGTTGAAATGGAGTCACCCAGAACATGAGCACGTGGCTTCTCTCGCCACCTTCCAGGGAAAAGCTGTGAAACGTACCGTATGAAATCCATCCGATAGATCATATGAGGCCCACTTCTGCGCGTGTGATGTGGTTCATTTGTATTTGATGAACCCCTTCAATTCTGTTTTTTTCAAGCAAACCTTTTTGCTTTACTCATGAATGTGTAATTGTTTGGTTCTGTTTTCAGGAAGTGATGTTTATGGGCAACGGAGAGCAGTACATCTGGAAGCCGCCAGAGGATGAGGAGATGCTCATGCACCAAAATAAAGCCCTTGGACCTTTGGGTGCTCACCCGGTGGAGAATATACAGCCGTCTGCTGCTGTGGTGAGCGATCACTCTTCAGTCTTTGCATGAAACCGAGTTTATTTGTTGAATTAGTTCCCGTTAGATTTACGAGGTAGCTTTAATATGAACGTTTCACCACATTGTTTTATAGTCTGCTGACTATCTGCTTGGACCATCACTTCACTAAATTATATCACTATTAAACTCAGCCCCAGTTTGTGCCTCCAGTGAACAATATTACCTGTGAATTTAAGAAAATCCTTTATTGGTTTCTCTGAGAAATGTATTCTTTGGCATCTTTTAAAAACCCAAGATATTGTTTCACAAATTTAGATCTGAACAATCTTCAAATATTCAGTTAAAATAAAATTAATTACATGATATAAGAACTCTTATGAACTAAAATATAAAAAGTTGTATTGCTGTTTATCACATATGTAAACACGTAGCCATCCATTTATATATATGAAGTGTAAGTGTGAACGTCTGAGGAAATATAGAGAGAATATTTAAAAATGGTTGAAAGAATAACTGGAACTGGGTTTTTCACTTTCTTTCAATTTTAAGATGTAGAAAGACACGTCTGTCCATATAAATCAGCTCTGATTGACTTTGACTGTGTGAACTTGTAATGAAGTGTTTTTCACAGCCCATAATCTCAGTTCATCTTGGCTGCAGGTGGCTGAGATGTACTCAAAGGTGTGCAAGCCAGGAAAGAAGAAACGAGCGGTTCCCGTGTCTCCCCCGGCCAACCCCGGCTTCCGGACCCTGGGTCGCGGCGACCGGGACCGAGACCGGGACGGGGGCTTCAGTGTCGTGGTCAAACCCCAGACGTGGGCCCTTCAGGACGGCAAAGCCGTCGGAGGGCCCCTCGACGACCACTGCTACGAGTCCATCGGGACGGAGGAGTGCGACCCGGCCTACGAGAACATAGAAGGTGGAGCCGCGTGGAAGAGAGAGAGGCCCCCCAACACGTGCGCCACCCTGCGGCCGAGGAGGAAGAAAGCCCAGCAGCCCTTGCAGCAGCAGCAGCCCCCTCCCCCGCCGCCGACGCAGCAGACCCCCAAGCTGCAGCACCTGCCCGCCAAATCCCTGCTGCTGCCGGGGGAGAACCTGTACGAGAGCATCGGCGACCTGAAGCAGGGCTCCGCCACCTCCAGCACCACCACCATCTTCACCTTCAACGACGGCATGGAGATGTATGTGACGGGGCTCTGAGGCGGCGGCGGCGGCGAGGCGCTGTGACCCCTGACCTTCAACACGAGGAGCTGAGCGAATGCGCCCCCCGCCCCCCAAGGAGTGGCGGCTGAGCCCCCCGTCATGCTCCCCCACACATACTGTTTACATTCAAGTCATAACATCAGGCCTCTCACAGGCTCATCAGGCCTCGGGGCAATAACGTTAAACCGGTTATGACCTGGGCTGAACACAAAAGCCGCTCTATAAACCTTAAAAAGGAATCCAAAGGTAGTGAATATTAAATGAGCACAAGACCACCGCAGAGCGACCTGTAGGTGACAGTAGCACTTCTATTTTACTGATACATATGTGCAAAGCACAATAAAGTTTAAAAAAAAGCCTAAATTCTTCCTCAATTCTAGCGGGTAAAAAAGGTCCTAGCAGGACTCCTACAGGGGTAAAGGCGCTGCGCTGTGTGAAGTATTTCGGTAGCACTTACCACGAACAGGCCTTCTCCAAAGTTACGACGTGATTCAGGACGAAATTCGAATGAATTGCTAATCAAAATACTTGAAAGCTCAGGGACCAAGAGAAACAATTATAAGAGTATTATAAGAATAAATTGCACACATTTTTCATTCCTCCTAAAGCTTTTGACTAATTTAGATCATGTTTAAAAACAGACCGGATATTTCACTCAGTCGCGTTTTGTTTCATCCTACATGGACTTAACAACGTCTCTACTGCCGTCTGTAAATGTGTGTTTTACTTTGTTGAACCTGTTTCTGCACTTTGCCTGCTACAAGTTGCATGCTAAAAAAGTGAAGAAAAAACAAAAAATCAAACAAAAAAAAACAAAAAAACAAGCACTGTCATGTGGTACCTCTATATGAATGTTATTTTTTTCTAACGTCGGTGGTTGATTTATTTATTTTATGAGTGTATTGCTTTTATTTCTCTGTAGAGCACAAAGCCGGTCGGATGGAGGGTGTTTTCGGCTCAGTGGGACTCCGAGAAGCAGACTTAATTGTCTCTCTACACACACACACACACACACACACACACACACACGATAGATAAAACTAGGCTAAAGAGAAGCGCTCGAGTCCTAAAGGTGGAGAGAGTTCCTACTCTGCTCTGCTTGAGTTTCGCCATAATGCAGCTTGGAACTGACGTGCATTAGCAAAACATCACGTCCAATCATCGCTACATCGAAGAACACTCGGTCCTCTCTGTTATCAGTGTTAAAAAATATTGCAAAAATGACAACAACAAAAAATGTGAAGCAAACGGTTTTTCGCTGGGCAGCAGAGGACGATTCACGCAAAGATTTACACCCAGAACCTGGACACGATTTCATTTGACCAAATATCCCCAGGAAACAATGTGATAATACTGTATGTTGATGCAATGTGTATGTACATTACAAAAGAGAAAGAATAATAAATATATCATCAGTGTCAAAAAAAATCTATCTTTTTCTATTATGTTTAACTGTGTTTTGGAATGACTTATCTTGTGACACAAACTGAAAGAAGAAGAAAAAGAAGGAAAAAAAAACAGCTGCAATGTAAAAAATGTCAGTGTGTTCTGTTTGTTGTTTTTGAAGCCATGTAGCTACGGTGTGTTCTTGGAAAGCCCAGCTGAGTTAAATGTGGCAGCTAACGTTGTGTGTTTGCTATTCAGACTACAGGGTCTTGTACTCAAAAAGCGTGTAATTAAGTGCTAAAGTGCAAAAGATTGTAATGTTTTATATCAAGATTACTATTCATGAAATGTCAGTCAAGTTTATACTTTTGTAATAAAGTGGCACTTTAAAAAAAAAAAGATGTTTTATCTCATAGTGTCAGTTATTACATTTGAAAGAGAAGACTCGGCAATGAAGATAATCTTCACTGAAAGGTTAAATATCACCAGGAGTTCACGTCTACTACAGAAACATCGAACATTCAAATGTATTTTTTTTGTCTGATATCAAAAGCTGCCTGTAGATTAATGTGTTCAGCTTCAAAGGAAAAATGTATAATCTTCATCTTCAGGTTAAAATAACAATTTATAAATAGTATTTATTACATTATTTCTCAGGCTGCTTGATTCTTTTGTGTGCGACCTTACAACCTCGTTTCAGTCAGTGTGTGTGTGTGTGTCTGAGTAGCCTCCCCATTAAAATGTGAATGCGTGTGTGCACGTGCGCGTGTAGTGGGTCTGAGTAGCTGGGGTTTGGGGGTGTTCGGGGGGGAGAGGGGAAAAAAAATAGGTCACCCCTTTAAAACAAAAAAGCTTGCCGTCAACATCGCAACCGTCTGCTGAATTTTCATTGGCGGGCTTGTCTCCATGGTAACAGGTTAACCTTGAGGCAGTAGTCACGTGGGCGAGAGAGTCTTCTGCTGTCTTGGGGAATCTAGCGGGCGTCGTGTGACACGCGTGACCGCGGGCGTCACACGAGGAGGAGCGACGCCGCCCAGAACGAAGCGCGAGGACGACGCGGCGCGTGAATGAGCGGATGAACGCAGGAATCACACCCTGCAGATCCATTGACGGCGCGTGACGAGTGAAGGAGACGCCAGGACGATACTGAGCACAGGGCCAGGAACCGGCAGGGGAATCATCATTCACACCAACAGATCACACACACAATGATATCATGAATTATCAGCTCACATGTTTGTAGCTGAGCTTGAACACAATGTATCCTGGAGCATTTTTATCAGTAGGATCCTCAACAAAGTGCTTCTGTGACCTGCAAAGCTGCGTTTCATGAAGCCGGATCGCGTTTCAGGGGTTGAGGTGAGTCTGGATGCATCGTTCCGTGCTGTGGAGACAGCGCTTTCTCCAAAAGGACACACGCTGGAAATCACACCGAGAGAAGCTGAACGTGAGCCACACTGACCCCTTTAGGCTTCGGGGGGCATCGCAGAGGGGGGGGGGGGAGACCCGGACAGTCGCACCATCGAGGATCACATTTGAGGGAAAAGGCACGTGACCCTCCGTAACCTCGCTGGGATAAACTGACGCACAGATACACAACTAAATGACAAATAAACTGCAGTGGAAAAAGACAGCGGCAGTGACAATGGAATGAAATGTTGAAGATGTTTTCTTCTAGCGGGAATTTAAGATTTGTTGTATAACTTTGCATTTTACGCCTCTTGAATGTGTAAACCTGAAGGAATGTTGGTACATGTTTAGTATGAGCTTTCCTTTCTCTAGATGCGTTGCCATTACACGCTGAGGTGTGAGTGTGATTTTGTTTTTTATAGCAGAGCATATTCTTGAGTGGTTCCACCAGCTGTGAATAATTTCCTTCTGAGCAAAGTTATAATGAGCCCCAGTTTGGGCCTCTCATGTATTAACATGTAGAGTTAAACGCGGTCGTTTCCAGAGACCTCAACCACATTGTGATAAAAAAAACAATTTCAACTTGTTTCTCAAGTTGTGTTGTGACTTTTTTTTTACTGATCCTGGAAATCTTCTAGCTCGACGTGTACAATATGAACCACATCAGAGACAGTTAGCTATCACATGGTTTATGTTGTGGTTTGTCTATATAGGACAGAAAGTCTTTGTATCTTGTCAAAGATTAATAAATCATCAAAATAAAATGGGTTGCCCCATAAAAACGTATAGAGATTAGTTTGACTGGCGGGTGAAGGCGGCTGGATCTCCAAACCAACGCTGCTTGCAGGAGCGGTTTGCTCGACACATCTGGATTCTGACCTGCTGTTTGATAATGAGGGAAACTGACTGAAGGACAGAATGCACGACAACGGGGGTGTTTTCAAGTGGCGCTTGGATTTCCTCTCACGGACGCGCGCGTCAGAGCGACGGCTGCTCCCCGTCCCCGTCGCTCCAGCTGAGGGACGTGTCCGTCCCGAAGTACCGGTCTCCAAAGTCCCCTGAAAGACACCACACCGTGGGCTCAGAGCCGATGTTCACCATGCAAAAAAAAACCGCACGACGAGACAGTTAAACCAAACGCTGAGAGGATGCAGAAAGAAGAGCTCGGAGATGATTTTCTAAGGTGGTGAAATTCACTCACTTCAGTCGCTGTAACACGATGCATCATGTGTAGCTACGTTTGCCAACGCCGGCCTGATTCATATCAGATATGCACATGGTGCAGTTTAGTCGCAGGGCTAATTGAACTCGCTTCAAAGCGACGCGAGTATAAAATTAGAATCTGCTGAGACATGAATGAAATATGTCGACTTGAAACACAAACATTTATTATCTTTTATCTGAAGCAGAGTTCTGGGACATTTTTAGATCCCGTATCAAAGTTTTAAAAACGTGCACCCTTGAGAGAGTGTTATGTGCCGTCAACATCTGGAATCGCTTTTGAAAGTCACAAGATTAGCCGAAAAACTTCAAATAAGTTACATTTTGGACAAAATGTTTGATGCATGCCTTCAGATTTAACAGAGCGGTTGCGGAGAGTCAGACGGCACGCGGTGGCTTACCGATACCGGGAATCACGTGTAACAAATCGTCCAGACTCCGGTCCACTGCAGTGGTGATGATTTTGACCTTCGGGAAGGCGTAGGCCACAGAGTGCACCCCGAGCTCGGCCATCAGCAGCGACACCAACGCAATCTTTTCCTCCTGCACCTCGTGGTCCTGCTCGCCCACACACACACACACACACACACACACACACACACACACACACACACACACACACACATCATATGAACAGCTGTCAGAGTCTAGCTGCTCACCATCATCAGGGGGATCAATTGCAATTGGAGAGGAAAGGAAATAATTGCACTGGGACAGAAATAAAACTTCCAATCAAAACCCACGCAGACAAGCAATAAAAAAAAACGTGGCTGATAAAGAGGAGACGAGGTCCTCTTGTGCTCTTCCTCAACAATAATGGTGTTGATATCAACCCACCAGTAGGACTCGCACTGCCATCATGGCGGCAGCGCCGGTGGAGACGGTGCTGTCCATTAGGATGACATGATCCTCGCTGATGTCTTTGGGCAGACGCAGGTAATGCAGCTGGCGAGGCCAGAGAGGAGGAGACAGGTTACCATGGTTACAAAAGCAGGAAGGGTAGTTACCACGGAGACACACATGATGTGGAAGAATGAAAGAAAAGAAAAAAACAATCAAAACGTTGAGATCTTCAGTTTGATGCGATTTCCGAGTCACCATCTTATTATGTCTTGATCTGAATATTTGATTTTAAGGGAATTCGGCACAAAACGGCAAACTCTCTTCTACCTCTGGTTCGCCCGAGTCCAGGTTGGTCTGGATGAGGATCTTGCCGATGCGGACGTCCTTGCACACGGCCCTCAGGGCGGGCTCCATCGTCTCCCCCGCCCGCAGCACGGACACACCCGTGATCTGCGGAGACGAGGCAGTGGAGCCAGTGTGATGACGGGAGCCCCCCCCGGCGGACACACTCGACTGGAAGCTAACTAGAGACGCGGGGGAAAGCGGAGCATCACTCACCCCCTTCCCTTTGTAGCTGCGGCCCTCGTACTCACAGCCCTGGGGAGTCTGGACCACACACGACTGTCCGAAGATACAGAGGAAACATCGTCTTAGCACACAAACGCATGACTCCATTTTCCATTTGCAATTTTGATTTGATTGCTGATATCGTTATAAACTTGATACCATTCCAAAACGGTATTAAGTTTAATTAGCAGAGACTTGAGCTCTGCTTTAGACACCAACTCACAGAGAACGTTCCGTCACCTTTATTGTTTGTCTGGTACGTTGTTGGGAGTTTAAAGTGCGTTGAAAACAGTTCATAGTTTGTGCATTCAAAGTGTGAGAACTGATATGGGAAGTGTGTTTTTAGAAGTAAGTTTGAATGTGGGGAAAAAGAAGAACCTAAAGACAAAAGTTGACTCTCGCTGGGTTGATTTGCAGTTAAATAAAAAAAATTTCAAGCAAGCTTCATGCCTCTGCCAAACTGTATTGGCACCAACAAACTAACTAATTCTGATGACAAAATCAAAGTACAGCGGCCTGTGAAACCAAAACAATGAGCTGAAAGACCTGAGGGGAACTCTCTGTGGATTCGTCCCCACACACAAGCATCGGTTGATTATTATTCAATATGCACCGTCCACCCACCTGAGACGGTAGAAACGTCAGCGCGTGTTCTATGAGAAGCCGCATCAACCTCTTTGAGTAGAAGATGAACTCGTCTCGACTGGTTCCTTTATTCCTGCGTTAACCCCCCCCCCAAAAAAAAGAATAGGTGTCAGAAGTCACATTGTGTGTAAAGAGGTGTGTTCCCTGAGCCCGGTCGCGTACCTGATGATGGTGTGCAGGCCTTTGACCTGCGGCGTGCGCTCCAGCACGCTGAGCGTCCGCGGCAGCGTCTGACTCTGCTGAGCGGAGGCCAGCAGCGCCCTGAGAACGAGGAGAGATGCAAAAAGGACGGCACAGGGAGGCGTTGTTAACGCCAGACGCAGACGGACAGACCGTAAGCCAGCGGAGGGAAAAGAGTTCTGTATGAGCGTACCTGACACTGAGCTCACGCTGCGTCACGGAGAGAGAGAAATAAAGAGGATGAGAAGACGCCCACAGCCTGTCGGCCCCAAACAAACTTATTTCTACTGAAGATGGACATTTATTAAACAGCAGCAACAAGCGAATTTGCAAACTTTTTGAAAACAACAATAAAATAGTAATTTATTTGGAATCAGTGTTTAGGGCAGCAGGGCGGACTACGACTAAAGGAATAAAGAATATGGGCAATAAACAAAATGACCAGATATATTCAGCTCAGCTGCAAACAAATTACTGATAATCTTTCATTTTTAATCCCTCTGAAATTCTGAAATACTTTGCCTGCCAGAAATACCTTGCTTTCTGTCAAAACGTACATCTGCAAACACGCAGCCGTTTTGCAGGAAAATCTGCAATTTAATAATTCATATTTTCCAAATTATGACATTGAATTGTTTATTAAAACACAAAAAAATACCCCCAATAATAAAAACAGAGATTGTATTTAAATTAACTAAGAAGCTATCGAACACATGTTTGTTATGGTTTCTTTTTTCAATAAAGATCCGTGGCACAGAAAAATCAGCGTGCCTTTACGTTGATAACAAATAATAAGAGGCTTTTTTTACTTTGTTTTTTTTTAAGTTTGCAACTGAGCTTGAAGCGCTTCATTGCCTGAACGAGCCGTGCGTCTCTGGCGTGTGCTCGCATCTCTCGGCCACACGGTGGCGCCAGCCGCTCAGGTTCGATCAGCAAATCGGCCGCTCACCTCCTCCAGCTGGCTGTGGACGTGCTGCACTATCAGGTCGATGGCCACCATGTTCCCCCCACCTCGAAGAGAAGTGACAAGACAATGACCATCTGTCCTCGCCAGTCAAATGTTGTTGTTGTTGTTTTCCCAAATAGCCTTTTGGTTATTCGAAGGGAAGCCTCACCTCTCGGCACCACGATGTCAGCCAGCCTCATGGTCGGCTCGATGTACTGTTCAAAGGCCGGCTTCACAAACTTGTTGTATTGCTTGATGACGCCGTCGATGTCCCTCCCGCGCTCCGTGACGTCCCTGCGCAGCCGGCGGACAGCCGGACGTCTGAGTCAGTGGTCCACAAAGATCTTCATATCCAGGAGCTGTCCAAACAACACGACACCGCGGTGGTGACAGCGCACACGTCACTCAATTTGTAAAGAAAAAGGAACCAAAACACACACACACGGCCTCACCTGGAGAAGCTCTTGGTCCGCAAAAGACATAATTCCTTCAAATATTATTACACTGGCACCGTACACATTTTTCTGCACGGAGCCAAGAGAAGAAAAAAAAAATGAAACAGCGTTGAAAGCTGCTGCTGTTTGAAATGACAATGTTTTATTAATGTAACTACATTTTTCGGCTTTGAAGAATCCATCCAAAGCAAAAACAGGACGCCCCGTCCTTGTGTTTTCTGTGGAAACGGGACGACTCACCCAGTCTTTCTGCCTCCCGTGCGTAGTGAAATCATACACCGGGATCTTCACACTCTTTCCCTGCTTCAGCCTCCTCAGGGTGGCGACCAGCAGCTCAAGGTCAAAAGCCCCCGGATGGTCAAAGTTGTAATCGTTACTCGCTGCCAAAGTCTGCTGCTCCGGGGACAAAACCTGTAGAACACAGAGGACTGAAGCTCGCAGGTTGCAGGAAAGCAAGTACGCACATTTTGAACAATATCTTAAACTACTCTTTTAAAGAGTTGTTTTCACCAAATGTTGGCGACTATAAAGTTGTGCGAAGATTCATCTTGGTTGGAATTTCCATTTCTCTTGCCAACAAAGTGCGAATGCTCAGGATGAATCAGCTGATGATCACTTTTCTTTATGAATTTGGTCGATGATCTTGTTTTAATTAAAGCTGATTGGGCGTCCTGGAAGTTTTTTACCTCGCGTGGGGGTATTAAGCGTTTGTCTGGACATATTTTGTAATATCTTTGAATGTATTACTTATGTACAATGTTACTACGTTTTATGTTCAGCGCTGTGACCAAAATCTTGGTGAAGTAAAACAAAAAGCCTTTATGATGTTTTATAAAGTGAAAGTGTCACATGTAGTTTGTCTCCGTTTTATGATATGGCTGGTGTTAACTTCTAAATACATGCTCTCATTTGTGTACAAAGTTAGTTTTTCAGTGATGCTCTTTATGTAGAAAACCCCTAATGAGGCTATACTCTAAAGTGTGTCACAACCCGAGTAGTCATTTAAAACTGTGACAGCAGATCGCTTCTTATTGCTCAACGTCATCCCACAATGAACCCACCGATCACTAGAGCCAAAAGAAGTAAGACAAAGGCAGCGCAAAACTCACCTTGTAGAAGGAATCCATAGACAAGAGCACAACCCACGGCACATCCAGAGCCTCGATGATCCGATTGGCCACGGTGGTCTTCCCCGAGGCGCTGCCCCCACACAAGCCTGCAGACCCACACGGCACGTCAGCGGCCCGTTACGTCTGCTTTTCAGTGTGTGTGTGTGTGTCATGGCAGCACAGCGTTAGTGGGTATAAGGAGGACGGCTCAGAGCTCAAAACCCACGACTGGGCAACAAGAAAAGAGTCGAGGAGGAGCGAGAGCGTCGCCATACCGATGACGAAGGCCTCTTTGGGCTGCGCTCCGTGCTCGTCATACCAGGGAGGTCGGCCGGCGGTGTAGACGGTGCGCGTGCCCGTGCGGAGCAGAGGAGGCTCGGTTTTACTCAGCGAGGTGGTGCTCTTCCTGCGAGGGGTCCCGGTGGGGGGCAGGAGCCGGTCCAACGAGTCCTCCCCGCTCCCACTGCAAGTCAGCAAACAGAGGGGGGGAAGTTACAGCACGCACGCACGCACGCACGCACGCACGCGCACGCACGCACGCACACACACACACACACACACACACACACAGAGTCTACAGGCAGGTGGATAACTTGATGAACTACTTTGTCTATTTGTATCATTTCTTTTCGTGGAGGTAAAGGGGAGACTCTGCAAGTGCTATAATGTTCGACAACCAGTTCATATGTTACTGTTGAGAAAATATATCAATATTTTTGGTCTGGTTCTGACTTGTTAGATCCCAATTGGGGCCCAACTAGTCGCCAAAGCAAACATGGGGCTTAGTACTACATGCTGCCAGCCACAGCTGTGGAGACTTTGGTAGTTTTTTCTGTTTGTCTTACTTACTACTTCTTCCTGTTTTAAAGCTATTGGTTGTCTTGTCTCATCTGGACCCGGAGTCTGAAATAAGGTTGATTGATTATTTATACCTGACATTCCTGACAGTAGTTTCATGCAGAACTTGTTCTTGTCACGTGTGTACTTACCATGTGGAACTGGAAGTAAACGATCTGAATACTTCCTCCATGCCTGGACTGTGTCTACTCTCAACATGGAACAAACACAAGTCAGCCGAGGCACAGCTGCATTCCCACAGGCAGTCATTAGAAACCATGGATTGTGCTGCACAACTACGCACATGCGTACGATACACACTGTAGACAATCCTCTGTGACTGAGCGCAAAATCAACACACTCCCAAACGCCCTATTCAGTCTTCATAAATAGCTCACACTTGTGCGGTGTGTCCGCGAGCTCCCCCCGAGGAGGACAACAAGCATCCTGCCCACGATCAGAGGAAACGACAACAACAACAACAACACAGAGAGTCACATCTTACCCGCGGTCAGACCTCAAGGACCAACAGCCAGAGATTCTGGCTCCTGCGCAGTCCTGCAGTCATGTCTGCTATAGGCAACAGCCTGCTGGCCTCCAGCTCGCCTGTCACCGTGGCAACTCAGAGTAACAATGACCACAAGTCAAGATGGTGTTCAGTTGGGTTTAGTTTGCTTTACCGAGTCCATTCACAGTCTGTGTCCACGGAGAGTAAACATTCCTCTGAAAGAATCCCCCGGTGCTGCCGTCTGTGTGTGTGTGTGTGTGTGTGTGTGTCTGTTTGTGTGTGTCAGGCACTAAGAGGATCTGCGGCCTGCTTTGCTGGTATTAATAGAGACACTCGACGGGACGGGCGTCTTCTGCTAATCCTTTCTCTTCGTTAGATGAAAAAGAGAAAATCCTCACATTACTAATCAATGAAGTTACCAATCATTTCAGCCCTAACAAGCTTTGCCTATTTGTGTCCTTAGTGGAAGCTTCAGTCATCTTCTTAGTTTGTTTGAGTCAATTGCTACATTGTTGATGGAAAAAATAGTTAATTTATTTATATGGCCTATTTTCCTCGCACGGTTGTACAATCTATATAATGTACCACGCCATCTGTTTTTAGGGCTCTTTAATGGGCGAATTAGGCCAAATCGCCAGGAAGAGCAACAGAGAGGGTTCCCTCTTCCACGACTGATAGAATAGTCAAGAACTATTAAAATAAGTTTTAAAAATAACTAATAATACCTCACAACAAAATGAAGTTGAAGTTCAATCACAAGTTTTTTTTTCTTCTAATTTGACTTATGGTACATTTTCATTTTACAAAATCAATTTAAATAGGATTTTGATCCAATAACTTCTTTTTTTATGTAATTTGATTTACTTTTACAAAAGTAAAATATTGAAATAATAGATTATATTATTGTATTTTTATTTAATTGAAAGCAATTGAGGTTAAGAAAAAAATTGCGGTGTACTTTACCAATAAATGTACTCAAGTAAATTTGAAAAGGCCATACACAAGGAAATAAAATGTAGATGTTTTGATTTAATTTAAAACCAGCATTGGTGACTTAGTGAGCCTGTGACGTCACCATGCAGCGCGTCACGTCTCCCCGCATCTGTTGGGTCCACAGCCTCCGACAAGTCCCCCCTTTGCACAATTAATCAACACGAACAGGAATGGCTTTTGATTTAAAAGTGTTAATACCGGAGAATAAGCGTATTGGATGCGCTCGCGGTTTTGGCGCAGGGGAGTCAGTGCGGTTAGCTTCACGTGACCGGGTCACTGCGCTGCTGCACAAACACAAATAAAAACACCACGGGAGCAATTCCGGTACAGAGACTTCAAACAGATGCATAAAACACGGAGACCATCGTGTACCTGTCCGAGCGGGACGACATTATTCTCCTGCACTCCGCTTTCATGGAGCTCCTGCGACCTCCGAGCCGGCGGCATCGGCTGGATTCCTTCTGATCGGCGCTGTGGGATTGTGGGTAATGTAGTTTATCGCCAAGTGCCTCCTCGCCAACGCAGTTTCTAGGTCAATTAACACATCCCTCGCATGCAGTCCTTTGCACTAAAAGCATTTATTTGTAGCTTTTTATTTATTTACTTTTTGACATTACAAAAGTTTCACAGAGCGAGAAAGAGGTAGAGACAGTAAGAGAGAAATAGTCAATAGAGCAATTTACAAAGCAGATTGTCTGGGTGCTTCTCCGTCACAGTTCATTGACAGGCCGCAGAGTTTGTGTAAGTTTGTTGTGCAGAATGAAAAGCTGCCAACTTTCGCTCAACAACATAACTCGTTTAGATCGCTTCTCGCTGGAGGGATTTATCCTCTGGATCGGATTCACATTTGAGTTCATTTGGGGTAAATATTCCACTTCTTCTGGCTACGATATTCTTCCAAAGGAACCTGTGAGTGACACAAAGATGAATACTTTTTCATTCAAAGGGAAAGTTAAACATTTAGGGAAACACATATTGACACCACTCATGTCTGTATTGTCAATAAGAAGCTGGTGAACGTTTAGCTGGAAGACGGAAAACAAACACCCACCACCAGCGGCCCCAAAATCTCAATATTTAACAACTCATATCTCACTCGTCTAATTAGAACAAAAACTAACATTTCATTTATCCATACATTTATATTCTTACACTCTAAGTCGTTCAAGTCCATCTCTTTATTGTCAGACTGTTCCTTAAAGACGAGGTCCGAGTAGTGGAAACACTCCCTCACCTCTGCTGAGCAGCTGCAAGTTGCGTCCCTCCTCCTGCACCTGGAGCTGCAGCACCTGCTGCAGCAACTCCTGCCGAAGTGTTTCCTGCACCAGCCCCATCCTCTCCAGCTTCTCCCCGTTCAGACGCAACAGGGCCCGGCCTAGAGAAGTGGGAGCAGATGACAAATGTTGTGTTTATTTTCCGATTCTTCGATCGCATTTGTAGGTCAGCTGAGGATCTTGGCTTGGTGTGCAACCTGTGATAGCGTGCTGGGAGAACGCCTCCACGTAGGCCAGGTAGTTGTGCGGACAGTGTTTCTTCAGCCATTTGCAAACGTCTTGTTGCGACCACAGCACGACGGGGCGGATCAGGCTGGGCTGTGTTGGGCTCGTGTGATATATTCCATAATTGTCGCTGGAACGGTACTGCAGACCGAAAGGAAGACGTGCGATTAATTACAGAGTAGACCGACATGTTTTCCAAGAGTATTCCAACATTTTAGGAAGTCATGCCGAGGGTTAAATGAGAAGATTGAGGTGCACATCTGTACATGGGGGATCAGGCCTCTATATGATAAAAAAAAAGGTTCAAAACTCATTATAGCACAGAAGGACGCCGGTGGCCGTATATGAACATGCAAATCAAACACTCCAGAGATGTGAACCTCTCGAAGATGCAGCAGCAGCTCCTGAAAGAGCAACAGCACAGCCGCAAGAGCACGGAGGCCAGTGGGATCGTGAGATGCAGCGCTTTAATATTACAAGATGTAAAACTATGGAAGACCGATCAAACTGGGCCTTTGATCAGTCACTCGGTTTTAAATATTCAGCAGTTACAGGATTTCAGGATGTTCTTGTATGCAAGAAAGTGCTGCATCAAAAAGAGAAAAAGGCAGACTAAAGATTTTTGCCGTAAGTCTTAATTTGTCAGAGGACTATCTGATAAAGAGGAATGTGTAGAAAAGGTGTTCCAGCTAAGAAGGACCCTTAAAATACAATCACAATTCATCTTCAGCATTTTACTTTGTAGTGTCCATAATCTCTGATCTAATGAAACACTGAGTCATGAACAATGACCACTCCTCTTTCGGAAATATATGTAATTGCTTGGCTTAAAAACGAACATAACGAGTACAAAATATGTGGAAAATGTGTCCAGCAATTTAATCAAACAGTGGTTTTAAGTATTACTTCAATCAGTTGTGATTATTGTTTCAGTAATGTTGTCTAGCACCAAAATGTCATTTCAATAAGTTACATGAAGCACAGAACAAAGCTGCTCGCATGTCACATTAAGACCCACAAAGAGAAGAGCAACAAAGAACAATAAGTTATACTTAAGACACTACGCTGGGATTCCTTTCCTTCCACTTAGTTTGTGAGGACAGCGTTTCTACGGCTGCGTGACTTCTGAACAATCACACAAAGGACCCGTACTTCTCGTACTGTGAAGCAAACAGTCAATGCGAAAGTCATTTGAAAGTCACCGAAATGTTTCACACATTTCATTGAAAGCATTTTCCCAAACTAAATAGCGTTGAGCGCTTTCAGACAGCGGACATCGTTCTGATGGTTGGTATTGTCCCCTAAAAAACATGTCGCATTGTCTCCTTGCGCAGCAATTAATGATTTTCATTATTAACTAATCTCCTGATTAATTGTGTCGATTAAGTGATGAATTGTTCAACCAATAAATTGTCAGACAATATTTATTGTATTTATTTATTTGAAGCTAGAACTAGATTGTTTTTGGCTTCACATTCTTGAAAAACGATTATTATTTTCTTTCAACGACTACTCAATGTATTGTGTAGCAGGGAGAGAATATAATGAGTGTTTCCGCGTCTCAAACAGACATGTGCAGTACATTAGTGAGGAGTCTGTACATGTAGAGAAAGCGTCTATAAAACCAGCTGAAAGGTGAAAAGCTGCACTGTGGCACAAGAAGTGAAAGTACAACACCCATTAAGTTTATGTTTCCCAAAACAGAAATAAACCAACCGCTACATTATGTGCACCCAAGAGGATTGAAGCGCACAAACAATGCATTGTGTAAAACTGTGTTATCAGCCAAGTCCAGTCCAATGTTTGCAGCTTTGGCTTCAGCTCATTACCGCCTTTTTAAAGACTCTTTCATGGGGTGAAGCCTAAGAAGAGGGCTTTAAACGAGGACACTCTACTGCACACATGGATTGTCCCCGTTGACGGCGAGCAGACAATGCTATCGCCACACAACAAAAGGAACCTCTATTAAAAATTTAATTAAAACGGGAACCAGAAGGCTACCGGAGGCAGATCGGATGACGACTCATATAAAGAGATCTATAAATAAATATATTAAAAAAGGCTTCGCACGCCGTGCAACAACAACCACAGGCTGTGTAGCATCAAGTATTTCCTATCAAACCAAATTCGGTTTCCTTCTGCTCCGAGTCAGCAGTGCCGCTGCAGCACAGCGTGATTGTTGACCGGCCAGTCGCTATTTAAAGCCCAAATGTACTAAAAGGCCGTTAGAGCCCCCCCAACCCGCTGGGGAGAGAGCGACTCCCATTGTCTGCGGAGAAAGTGCCGCTCCGTCACATCGGCCAGACGACAGTGTTTTCTATCTGAGGGGATAGTTACTGAACACCTGCGAGGATCCACATAGATCCTCTGCATTACATTGGTTTGGTGTCTGAATTACTGCCTGCAGGGATGCAGTGGGGCTCACTGAATAAACTCTTACTCGTTGTGATGAAACCGCCATTACGTCTGTTTTTTTCCCCAATTCAATTTTAAGAATGATGTTGGACCCATCAGAGTTATGGATTTCTGCAATTAAAGTCAAACTGCAAAATGTTTTTCTCACTACTGAAATAGTGCGACTATCGGCCATATTTTTCAGTTGACAATAAAAGTGTGTGCTTGTGGATAATTTCCAAATAGTTAAAACACGGCAGCTTGTCGTCCTCGGTAGCCATTAATGGCCGACTGCATCGAGTGTGTTGTTGAGCGTTATCAACCTTAAGAAATAAAGATATCTCCTTGACCGTGATGCAGAAGACCCGGGGGAGGGAAGTGAGGGTGAGGAGGGAAGTGAGGGTGGGGGTCTCACTCAACATCAGCCTGTGAAGCATGTGTGCTAGCGGACGTGTCGATGTCATGTTCCGGTTGAATACCTGCAGGGCCTCTGTGCCCGGCTGCTGCAGCAGCTTCACCGGCCTGCCGCCTGCGGTTTTCTGCCCACGTCCGTCATGCCAGGTCAGGTTCCCACCTGTCCGTCGACTGAGCTGGTGCTTGAAGTCCTCCGGCAGAGCCCTGTACTCCACAGCTGGCCTGCAGAAGCTGAAACTGGACGCCGCTGCAAGGTCAAAAGCGAGCAGGAGGTAGAACGATTAGGTGGCCGGATCTGCTCGTGAGCATGTAAAAAGCAGCGCGAGGCGCTCTGCAGAAAACACTCGCTCAACTCTGCGTGACTTGCAAATAAAAGAAAAGAGTCAAATTCCCCCGCATGAATAACTCGTCAGTCAGGGATGATTTCATTGTAAAGTACCTGCTGTGTTAAGGAGCAGGTATGAGGTAATGTTCAAAGTCCCCTGAGCCTGTACAAGCTCATGGGTGATTCACAGAAGTCCTAGTTCGGGTAACAGCCTCTGCGGCGAGCCAGATTCTTGTCATTAATGGCGAGGCCTGCAGGCGGACATCCAAACCCACTCAACAGCAGGTGGCTTCCCAACCTCCAGTGATTAAAGGCAGTGTGTAACTAGTCAACACGCTGTTACTGGCACAGGTCCTGGCAGAGAGCCACGGGTCATTACGGATTCATCTCACCGTGTGTGTGTGAAGCTATATGCAGTGCAGCTGTGTGTGTGTGTGTGTGTGTGTGTGTGTGTGTGTGTGTGTGTGTGTGTGTGTGTGTGCGCTAACGTGCATTTCCAGTATCTTTAAACCGAGATGATCATTTGGAGACGGGGCATAACGAGAGAGACCTTTGGGGGTGTGAGTGTTTGAGGAGATGAAAGAGTGTCTTTTGGTTCTCTAGCTTGGTGCCTCTCCCTTCTATCATTCAACGTCCCCCCACTGAGAGAGCAGCGAGTCTCGCAATCATCAAGGCAAACCAGCAGCATCAGATTGTTATGAATAAAACGCTGCATGCCATTTTGGTTTCTTAGAACCAAACTCTGACGCTGCGTACTTTCAATCAACTCTCTCAGCCCCCCAGGCTGCTGCAGTAACCACAGATGTGCCCCTTCCCCGGATTAAACACGATTAATTAAGACCACTTGTCAGACTGAGTTTGTTGCTTCCTTTAGTTTTGCCGTCTATGAGGGGTGGAGGGTTTGGAGGGGGGGTCTCATTAACGAGCACACATATTAATTGCCAGCACCGGATAGAAAAACCCTTTCATGAGCTAGAATCTTACTTAGCATGCTGTGAAGGGTCTCGCTTTGCATGCAGTACATCTCACGGGCTATTCGGGGGTTGAATCTGCTCTGTGGATTAAACCGAGAGCAGCGCATCAGTCACCAGGAGCATTACGCAGTGTCCAAAGACGACAAATACGCAGCACAACAGTCCAACCTGGTGCCAGTGGTCGCATCACGTCGCTGGAATCCATTTCAGTTTAAAGTTTCTTACTTCGTAGGTAGATTTAATGCGATGTGTACTTCCTCCTGCAGTAACGTCACATACCAAACAAAACCGGTCTAACGAGAACGCTAACCGAGCTGGAACTAACAAAGTGCGCCTCCGTGTTAGTACACACACGTTGACCGTCATGGTTCGGAAAGCCGCCTACCGTCCACCGCCATGGTGCTCCCGTGCCGCGGAGGATCCGGTCAGACTCACAACATCGCCGGTGACCGTCGCGCAGACTGCAGGCGTTCTCCGCGCGCGCCTCTCTCGCTCTCTCGCTCTTTCCCTCTCTCCCTCCCTCCTTCCTTCTCCAACGAAAGTTTCAGAGCGGTCTGGCAGGAGGGATGACGCTCCGCATTCCCTCACGTCTCACCGGGGCACCTGTGGGAATGACGCTGCTCACGTGGTTCCCCGGTGTCGTCCGTCCGTGGGTTGTTTTGTTGGGAGACGCGGGAGGAATGTCCCCAAACAGCTGTGCAGACTTGTTTCGCCGGATTAGGCGTGAGTGCGCGTGTGCAGTCCGTGCGTGTGTGTGTGTGTGTGTGTTTTCTTTTTAATTATTTCTATGTCGTGAGAATCAGACGCGCGTCTTTTTCTCAAGAGCCCGCACGTGCGCAGCGGGCTCAAAGTGCGGCCCCGGGCCCTGTAATTATCACAGCCAGTGGAGACTCTGAAAAACAGGCGGATGAAAAGGCTTCTCGTCGCTGCAGCATCCAGCGGGTTGGAATCCCCCTTTGCCTTTTCTTAAAGAAAGGGAGCTCTGTGCGCCCTGTGGGCAGAGGGCCTTCTGTGTCTCGGGCCCTCTGTGTGTGCGGTTCATCCACCGGAGCTGCATGTACGACTTACTAAATGGGTCAGATATTCAGCCCTTTATATTTACTCTCTTCGCCATTTTGCCTCCACGTTGCTATTATTTTCCACCGCAAAAAAACAACAACAACTAGGGAATGGAGACGGGGCCAAACGACAAACTGGAGACAGCATTAGAACATAACAACTGAAACAGCATCGCATTTGGCACACACATTTGCACCCTGGTTGCCTTGGCAAACGTTTTTTTAAATAATGGCCCCAATTAGTTGGTCAAACATTCCTATCAGAGCAAAAATGGACATAACTAGATCCTGTTTTAGTCGGTTACAGGTTTCTGCCAAAAGCACACAGGGCTTCCAACCCTCATGACAGCTTCTAATTCCCAGCCTGTAAATCAGGGCACCTTGAGTCGCCGGTTTGTCAAAAAAAAAACTCTGTGCTAAACGGCCCCTGCTGTCAGCGCCGTACTTATTAGAGGGACAAAAACGCCGTTCAGCCACATGATGTGGTGCAATAACAAGGTGAGGTGACGCCCCGCGGGCTGTGCACGCACCACACCGGGGGACTCGCCTTCAACAAGAGGGGCCTGTCTAAGTGGGGAGGGATCTCACTGTTCGCCATGCACATAAACACATAAAAAGAGGTGGAACGGAGTTGTGCACAAATCTTACTGGAGCGTCAGGAGCCGGGGGATTGGCCCCTGAGGGGGTTGGACTAAAATACATTTCATGGTTCCCATCCGTGTATTTAGAAATGTCTCATATTGTGACATCAGGCTGCTCTGGTTTAAATCTACAAAACAGGAAAACAATAATTAACTGACACCGCTGTGAGTGTAATCAAAGCGAAACCAGCAGAGGTAAAAAAAAAACTGCATTTCGTTTCAGTACAGATTAAGACGTGATTGTCCTCCAGAGACGGATTTTGACAGGAGAGCAGCAGCGCAAGTGTGATGATGAGAGTTGACGGGAGAGATCAGCGCACCCACTTAAATCACACTCAATCATGTGGTTAGGTGGTCTGTTGCGTAACATTGGAGAGACTCAGATGGTTACCGGAGGGTATTTAGACTTCTGACCTAAATGGAAAGAAATCATCTTTGCAGTCCATCAACAGAGACAATATTTTTGTTTAAGGCAAAGTGAAAAATCCTGCATTCTAAATATTTCTTAGATAAAGTTACGTACTTGTTTTAGTATCAAAAGTACTCATTATGCCCAGTGGACGTTTGTTGCGGTTTTCTTCATTCTCGTTATGCATCAGTGCATAAATATAATGATGTAAATGTAGATTACAGAGTAACAGGTGCTTCACTTATCTTCCCTGATAAGACCTCATCTCAGGAATGTGTGGGCATGGACAGCAAACAGCTCTTTATGTACATCTCTTCATTGATTTTGTTGTATCCATGACAACTAATTATCCTTCTTATAATTTGTATTAGTGCACGGAGCTCGTGCAAATTCTCAGCAAAACTCCAACCAACTTGCATTTTCAGGAGGTCTCCCTTCCAGAAGCCAAGGAACCAAGTACGGGTCCAGTACGTGTACTCCCAAACCCTCCAAGATCTTTGGCTGGTTTATCCACGCTGTATCTCCTTTCTTTAATCCAAGTAAAATCTGTGTAATAAGCTGTACTTATAAGCAGGTGCAGGTAGAGAACTCTGGACCGTCAGGATGCGGCCATGTTTAACCTCTTTATGCTACGCTAACTATCTCCTGGCTCCAGCTTCATATTTAATTAACGTATAGACATGAAAGTGCTATTGATGTATTCGTCTAACTCGCAGTAAGACAGACACAAATGTACATTTTCCTAAATTTATTTCTAAAGGGGTTTGAGACACTGTAGTAAACAGACTATTCAAAGCAAACATGGGCTGACAAGAAGTCGCTTTTCTTTTTTTGGGAACTGCAGGGACTTCAGGATATACTGGTGCTGAAAATATTCAGAACTTGATTTTAAAAAACATTGTTTTAAATTTAGCTCGGTTTAAAGTCAAAATGTATGTAAATATCCCAGTGTTACCCAGCAAATTAAACTTAAGCTACTAATATGTTTGCTCGTTTTTTGTTGTATTAGTGGTTTTCTCCCTTTTGTTGTTACCACTGTGGTTGTTATCATGTTTATATCATTCCACCCCATATAAATGTGAATCCAGTGTGCTGCTATAAAAGAGCATAATGTTCAGTTGATTTCCCCAAATCTCACTAACTCACTAAATCTACAGTTTTACAGTGATGGCGTCTCACTGATGTTGTCTTGGATGATTTAACCTCTTCTCCGTGGGTTATATCGGAATGGAAATAAGCCAAGAGTAGATATGAGGCTGAGATCCCTGCTGCTTTGATGTTTATTTGAAAGGAATCCTTTGATATTTCTTCTACTCTCACTCTCCTATATAATACATATCTGAATTATGGGCAGCAATCTTCGCATCCCCCCCCCCCCTGCTGGTTGCTGCCTCGTTGGCTCTCGCTTGGTGGTAACAGAAATATATTGTAGTGCATCACAACCAAACTGCAAATGTGGTTGTAAACCGTGATACGGGTTCACTTGGCATGGTGTGCGTAGTTCCTTCAGATGGTTGTGAGGAAACGCAGATTGGAATATTTGGGCTCCTCCTAAACTTTAAGCCTCCACACATTTGGCCTGTTTTGAGCGCTAAAAAGATGAAAGGGAGCGCTTGAATTAATAGTTTCCACAAGAGGGAACATCAAAGAGCCTCAATTATTAATAGGATACTTTGAGGTTTATACTGAGCAGCTGTTTAACAAAAGATTTTTTTTCCAAAAATGGCTTTTGAATCAGAAATATTGCAAATACTTTATGAATATTTCATTTCTATGTTTTTGCCCGGGTAATTTAGAAAATCTGTGTTATTATTAGCCCAAACATGAACTATACTGTACAGTAGCATTACAGTCACAATGCAGTTCTTTATTTATTTAGCAATAAGTTGCCATATTTGCATGTCGAACAACAACAAACAAAGCCGGAGTATTGAAGAGTATTCAGGAGTGAAGCCGCAGCTTCTCCTCTTAGTCACCACAAGGGGGCAGTCCTTCTCTGATGTTGTGACGTAAAATTATACTGAGCATGACTTCAATATTACATTTACAAATTCAAAAATGATATAATGTAGTAAAGCAACCCCCCCAAAAAAGCAAAGCAACCCAAACACTGTAAAACCATTAGAAAAAATATAGAAAATGCAGCATTGGGTCTTAATTCTTTTCATATGAACCTTTTACTGCGCTAAAAAGAACCTTTTGTGTGTTCAACGTGTTTGTTGCAATGCTGCATTACTTACGCAATAAGGTACGAGAGGCTGTACTTTATCGTCCAATAACAACAGTTTGAGGATGTTATCAGGCCCGACGTGCAGCGGCAACCTCATTGCTTTTATAATACTATTTATAATTTAGCTGCTTTTTAGCACCTCTAACTACCAAACGTTGTGTATCGCATTTCAGTAGTCTAGAGAGTAAGAGTCCATGTACGTGCATGTAAACAGCATCTCATGCATTACAATCATAATAGAAATTTTGGCCATTCTGCATATTGAGTAACTTACATTTTAGTGCGTATAAGTACAGTGTCATGTAAATACTTTTGCACCTTTTGTAATAGGACATTCCATGCATAACTTTACATTTAAGTGATTATTTAGCTAAACATCTTCCACCATCGATTGAATCCATCCAATAGATGGAAAGTGGACTGTACAGTTTTTGTTACACTAATGGATAAAAGAAAAGTTGCAATATACTACTGAACCGCCAGTAACATTTTGCATATTACAAGATTACTAAAAAAAAAACGAAACAACTATATTTATCTCTACGTGTATATGGAAGGAATTCTAATGCAGGTTAATAAAGAACATGAAGACTAGAGGGGCTTCTGCACAGCTGACCTCCTTAAAAAGACGTGTGCGTTTGTGCGTGTGTGTGTGTGTGTTGGCTGTCTCCAGATGTGTACTCACTGCTTTGAGTTTGGCAACAGCAAACACACTGAACTTCTTGGCTGAGGTGTGAAGTGTGCCGTGACCTCTGGCTTCCCATCTGGCCCCCCAAATTATGCTTTTTAAAGGCAAACATCGGGCTCCTTTCATGACTAAATCCGTCAAAGGGCGACACCTCCGAATATAATCTTTTTCTCTCAAGAACCAAAAGCAGAAAATGTCCACGTGAAAAACAGAACAACCTTGAACAAAGAGTTCAAACTGACCGTGGCTGGGAAATCGCATCAGGAAACGAGGTTGAGGTCTTTGAGGTGTTGAGACCAATTACTCTTGTGTGTTCTGTTACACGGCAGTGAACATACAAGAGCAGATATAAGCCGCCCGAAAACAAACAAACAAACCTGCAAATTAAACCCGACGGCCTTAATGTGATGAATAAAAGCAGCATGGACCGTTTTATAAGTTTCACAGGTGAAAACGAGTAAAACAAGATGGAAGGAAATACGGTTTATTACCAGCACAGTTGTGATAGAACCACCCAACCCACAGTCTAATGACTAAAGACACACATTGGGAGATCTACAGGCCAGCTCAGAATTTGGACCGCAGGTGTTAAAACTAAATAGACACAAAGAAATAGAGGACGGGGTAAACACAAATACAACCAGCCACATGTTGCACTGATCTTCATAGATGGTGAAGCACTTTTTTGCCAAAGTGGAGATGTCGGGAAGTCCACGAACAGCTTAAGCCTGACGTATGCGTCCAGAGGGCAGGTGAGTGGAAGCTGAAACAGCTGAAAGTGTGTGATGACATTGAG